AGCTACTAGTAGCTTCTTGCTACTAGTAGCAATGCCCTTGTTACTAGCCAAAAAAGAGAAACGGCCATCTCGCCCTGCAGAGGGGACAGGTGTTTGATGGATTTCTTTTTGCAACGACTGACCCCTCGCTGACTGGTTTCGTGGACGCCCCCAAAGCGGTTCGATGTCCCTCGGTTTTCCTCGGAATTGGAGCCCTACCATCAGCCTGACGGCCTGATGGGTTGGGTCGTCAGACTAGATCTGGTGGCGCCCATATGGATTGTCTGCATTTGGCTTGAAAGGAGCGAGTTAGACAATGAGCAGAAAAAAAAAAGATGCCTTGGAGCAAAGGGTCACAAGATCTCATAAGAAGGTGCTTGTGCAAGTTCTTACGCTTTCCTTACACGTTCCAAAGGCTTTAGCTCACGCCCCATGGAGGAGAGATGGAGTGTTAACACTTGGTTTGTGCACTCAAATCGGGACAAACGTTTTGCATCACCCCACAACGTGAGCTTAAAGCGCCAACTGATTGTTTGTACATTCCTTAGCAAAAACATCAATCAAATCAAAGCTTACTCACTTTAGTCGGCCTAGTCCTTCAGCAATAAAACTAAACGCTTGGCCGCTTACGCACTAAAACGGTCTACGTACGCTGCTACGCTTAACCAGCACGTTCACGCTTGTCCTCATGCCCCCGGCCCCTACTCAATATGAACCCGGAGGTCTGTACAATGCCTATATCAATTGAATATACTATACCTCACGGAACCGAACCGAATTACAAAAAAGAATGTATCTTTCTCTTTCGAAACCGCCATCGATTCCACCAGCTCTCTTTACAGAAATCGCCCCTCTCGGTCGGACCGGTGGATTCGTTTCGGCCGACCGGACGTCCGTCCGGTCCTCCGGTCCTCGTCCGGTCGAAGCGAAACCGAGGTCTTTGGCCTCTTGGAAGGTGGTCAGCAGAAAGTCTGCATACCTTGGAGATGAGATGGTCCCGTTGACTTCGGGTGAAAGAGAAATGAGACTCCCAAGTGAAGGATGGTGAGTGCTGGTTCCGACCTGCTGGCGGTTGGCGGACAAGGAACCGCCGATGCTAGCAAGTTGAAAAGGAACGCCCCCCTCCAGAAAAAAAGAAACAAGTCACAGCATGTCACAGCAAATTTTAATATAATCCCAATCACATAGTCTATCCCAACCGTGATGAGGCACCCAAAAAAGGGCCGGGGCACCTAAATAAAGTACACAAAATGGGCACCAAACAAGTTGATCCAGGATACTCCACAAAATAGTCGACCACCTCCTCATCGAGCCAATCCAACTTCTCCGGCAGGTCCCAGTGAAACATGGTCACCAATGGCCGGATCCCTTGCGAATGGGCAGGTCCCGCGGTCGTCCATCGGTTGAGAATGGACATCTGTGACCGGGCAGGTCCCGGGTTGCAAGAAGCCACCAGGCAGACCGGGCGGCATCTGGGCTTTCGAAAAGACCGGTAGGTTTGGACATGTTCGGAACGTGTGCCAAACGCAAACGCAAATGTCAAGTCCGAACTGGAAATTCCTGAAATACCACCCAGTGTAGTCTGGCTGTCCATCCTGAAAGCTAACCAATCAGATTGGAGGTCCAGTCTGGGGATGCGCACAACCCTGTGGATGATCCGAGCGCTTGCTCGCGCCTTTCTTCGAAAGGTAGTGGAGGATGTTCCTGAGCGGCTTCGAACATCCAAGATTGAATGTATTTTGTCTGTATACCTGGAACCGTACAATGATGGCATCCCAAACATTTTTCTGATAGAAAGAGTGACTTTCTGATATGCATCAAGCCTATAGTTTAAAAGAATTTCAGTGCAAGGAACATGATCCTCCAAGAACTTCCCCAGTGATCATGGCAGTGGAACAAACTCAGTTTTTAGAGCAAACGTCCTCTTGCTGCGAAATCCCACGGTCGTGTGACCCAATTCGACCCCGCAACTCGTTCGATGCCACCAGCTGCGAAAGCCACGAAACTTGAAGAAACTGACGAGCTTGGCAGTGCGAACTTATGACTTTGAAAATGGACAATGGAATTGGTACGTATAAATCAACATAAATAAACTCTATAATATTCGATAGTCTGTATTTAATGAATAATCGTCCTTTTATTATTGTGTGAAATATACCAGGACCATCCAATGGGTGTCCAATGGACTACTGCACTACTATCCGGGATCTCCAGAATTGGACACCCATTGGATGGTCCAGGAAGGTTGCCCCTTTCTTCCACGTGCTCATCTTTGACGAAACCAATCCCCGGAGAAGGTCACCATGTTGGGCCACTGGCCGCGAACGTGGATGGTCTGCGATTCAGGCACAGAACTATGTGGTGTACTACCGTTGAACGGGCCTTCGGTGCATTTATGCCGGGCTCAACAGGTAAGATTATGGTGAGGGATACGCCATTCCCCATCAAAAGGCCCCCGAACAAATGAACAAATGGATACAAGGTGTTGAATAGTTTCAACATTGTGTGTATAAACATATATATATATCATGATCTATTAATATATAAATAGTATACATAAACACCCAGTTACGCCAATCATGTGGAAACGGATGACTCCAATTGATTCCAAGAGTCTTGTAGAACTGTATGCCCTTCTCGTTGGGATACATGTTCTTCTGGTCATCCATGGGAAAGACCCTCGTCCAACTAATCGAGAACCTCTCACTTCGGGTCCGGACGGGGAGACGGAGAACGGGGCCGGGTGCGTGAGTGTGTGTGTGTTGTTTTTCTTCTTCGTGGTCGCTTTGAAGGAAGAAGGTGTAAACAGAAACACCATCTGCTAGGAGAAAGAACCCCCAGCAAAAAAGAACCTATTCGACCTGGTTTATGCATCAAAAATGTCAGAACACAGAAAAACATGGTGAACCTGCTGGTGACATGGTTGTTGGTGCGAGTGGAGACATTGTCAACACAATCCCACAAAAACGGGCAGAACACCATGCAGGCACGTCCAGCAACCCCAAATAAACCAACGTTGATGAATGTCCAATCCGGGCAATTGGTACATGCTTATCCGAAAGTCACTGGGAAGATCAATGTACTTGCTAGTTTTCTCCGTGCTTCCAAAGTCACTGTAAAATCCTAGGAGTTGAGGGTGAGTAGGAGACGGGAGTCTTGAGTTTCTGAACCACGAAAGCACAATGGTCGTCAAAAGGAGTGAACAAAATGTACAATGCGAGACAAGTACAGGTTTGGAGTTCCTAAAATTGGATTCTTGATTCATTGAGTATTGTCCGTCTTTTTAGAGTCTTTGTTGCTCTTGTTGTTCCATCTCCTTCTTCTTATCTTTCTCCTTCTCTTTCTTCTTCTTCGCCGGCTCGGGCGCCAGCAGGGCCTGTAGGTGTTGAAGCCATACTGCGCCACCCGATCGAGGTCTTCCTGCCATCGGTGGTAGTAGTCGCAAGCTTGGTCTCCGTTGCTGCCCTGGCCGAAGTGTTTTCAGCTCGAGGCTGTCAAGAAGGTCCGAGGCTGTCGAATGGCCAAGCAGGGGGTCGGCATGTTTAAGAAAAGAAAAACGTGCAAGCTTTGATTAATATTGCTATTGATAATGAACAAATTCATAGATATATGCGCCTGGAAATAGTGTGAACAAGGGAACACGGGATAGGATTCGCTTGTTTGCAGCAAAGTTGGCATCATGATTGCTGGCCTGTTGGGCATGTGCGTGACAAACCTGCTGCGGTAGCGACCCTCTGATTCGCTAGCAGCGATTCGACCAACCGCTGAAAGCTGAAATTCCGTGCGAGCAACCAATGGCCTGCAGTTTGGTGCTTTTTGTTGTAAGTGTGGGTCCTATATTATTTACCCACATTTACATGCATTTACCCACATTGCGCATTCGGGAATTGTTCAGAGAATGAAAACCACTGTCGGTCTCAGTTTAGCACATGGTGCAGCAAAGAACAGAATCTACCCCCATGCCAGTCATGGCAACAAGTCTTTGGAACCGTCATAGTTCTCTCCTGGAGAATTGAAAATCGTTTCCTCTTCAACAATTTCAATCCGATTTGTACTGTGACAGGTAGGGGGATAGCTGATAGACAGACCCTCCAAATGAATGCAGCCTATGCTGTTTCTCCTGGCAAATTGTATGGAAAGAGAGCCAACACCTGGAATTGCTCTTGAAATTCCGATCATCTGGTAAGAGATTGCCAAAAACGACCGCTTGATTACTCGCCTTAAAGGCCCTCCCAGCGTGGGTGAACTTGTCCCAAATGGAGGGCGTTCGGCCATCCTCGTTCCAAGCACCTTCGACCTGCACACAGCGTTTCGAGAGCCACAAAGACGGGTGATGGGATGGACCTTCGCTGGTCTGACAAAGAAAGAAATGGTCAAGAGATCAAGAATGCCTTGCATTCTCGACCTTCAGACTGAGGTCAACCAAGTTTACCAATTTTGAGAGAAACAGTGCGCATTGTCACATTGATATACAAATCCACTGAAAACACTTGAATATGCTGGAATGCTTCTTTAGAGGGCCCCGGTCGCCTGGTACGCTGAGGTGGCGCAGCCCCACATGAACGACGGGTCGCCTCGGCCGGAGCGGGTCGATCGTAGGATGGTGGATTGAAGATCCTTTAGAGGAGAAGTGGCCCCCCCCACCATAGTACCATGTCCATGAAGTGTTCAAAATTCAAACCACCATAGTACCCACCATCTAACTTACTAAGAAGTGTTCTGCCTTTTTCTGTTCTCAGTAAGTGAACGGATCCATCCATATCCATCCCCATCCAGAAAAGGATCTACATTTGCCGGAGGGCTTCTTCTTCGGGAAAGCGGAGATCTGTCCGAATCAGAGTTGAGTGACTTGGATTTGCTGTCGAAACCGGGAAGAAAGAAGAAACCATCTGGAAAATGATGGAAAATGTATGTAAAGGATTTCAATTGCCATATTGGAACAACCACTTGTTTCTGCTTGGGACTGGGGTAACCCAGGTACCAATCCTCCCGTTGTTTCCGCCAAGGCACTGAACGCCTCCCGGATCAGGTCTTCCTGCACCGAAACGCTCGGTGAGTCACATGGACATCGGTCGGGGGGCAGGTCTGGTGACGGAGGTGAAGGGAGACGGAGCAGAAAAGCTTTGGGTATAGGTGGGTACCTGGACCGAGGGGTGTCCAATGATAGGTCCCGTAAAGTAGTGTAGGGGATTGGTGACCCCTTTGATGGTGCTGGTATATACCTTTTTTTAAGACTGTTTCCTATCATATTCCATCATATTCCTATATCATATAAGTAGAGAGGATGGAACTTCCTTGTGGATCCCAGTAGGACGAATTCACTCTCACTCTACGGCTAAGTAAAGACTTGATCAAGATCAAGTAGAAAGGGCACTGATTTGGTGCTAGCTTCCAGTCGTTCGCATGAATCCATGTTTGATCGAAGCAAACAAACAGAAGGGCGATAGGACATAAAGGAATAAATCACGTCCTTCCTGGTGACTCTCCACCATCGGAGCCTTCACCTTCATTCATTTTGGGTCAAACCAAACATGTCTTCAGCACTTCCAAAGGCTCACTTGATTCAACAAAAAAAATGACTCCAACTGGTCATTCATCCATCCACCCATCTACCCGTGCCGTCACCCGCGCCCCGCGACCTCCCGCTCGGGGTAGGCCCCACCAGGACGCGGTCTCGCCTTCTGGTTGTCGTCCGTGGTGAGGTCTCGACTGAGCGCCCAATCAGCGGTCGCCATCAACGGATCGGCCTTCACCTGTCGGATCCGCAAGACGGCCCCGGTGGGTCGAGAGGAAGGTTTGACCGACCTGCTGCAGGGGCTGTCCTGATGGGTTTGGTAGGCAGCTATCATTCATTCGCATCCTTGCCAGACGCCATCAATATGCGCGCCGAGCCGGCGTTTGCCTTCTGCCATTTGGTGCACTCCATGAAAGGACATGAGTGTGGGGACGAGGCTCCTTGAGACGAAGAATCATGGACACCTGACTGGGGCTATGGTAGTGAATATTCATGTCCAGGGAAGTCTAACGTTCAGAACCTCCAACTTGGAAGTCTTATACAAACTCAGTACAAAGCCTTTGGGGATCTCCAGCACCTCAACATCACTCCCATTACGACAGAAATTCGTAAGACAGGGCAACCTTTTGGACCTCAAGTGGCGCCTCATCGAAAACATGATGTTGGTTTTGACCTTTCCAACCCAACTGAAAACTGAAAAGTTGTATATGATAGATATGATAGTATATATATATATATATATTGTATACATATCCGCCGACCCTGGCCTAGCTGACGCCTAGGCGGGGCGGCGCCCGGGACACCGCAGGGTGAAACAGTTGCCGAGGCCAAGCAGATCCAGAGCGTTTCGCCGTGGCTCCGCTGCCTAGTCCTGCACCGCAGCCTTGCCTGCGTCAGGACCTCGGCCTGCACTTCTTTTCTGTAGGGTCCCGAAGGCAACGTCCAGGCGCCCTCAAACCCTCCGCAGCGCCTTTGGTACCCCTGCACCGCAGCCTTGCCTGCGTCAGGCGGGAGCCTTGGGAGGGAGCCTCTGGAACGTGCAGCCTGTGGACTGCAGCCTTGGAACTGAGCCTCTGGAACCTGCCACCTCGGCCTGTACTTCTTTTTTGTAGGGTCCCGAAGGCAACGTCCAGGCGCCCCGCAACTTGGGCCCAAGATGTGACCACATGGGCGCAACTTGGCCCAACCTAGGGCCAATAGCTTAACTTTGCTCAATATAGGCCCCACCAAGTCTCAAAGAAAGAGAGAGCGAGAGAGAGAGAGAGAGGACCCAGCCCTGCACATACCCAAACCCAAATAGGCCGGCGCCCGGCTGTCAGGCGTAAGCCTCATAAATCCGGGCGCCGGCCACGAAGCCCGTGCCCTGCCCGGAGGGCCTTCGGTGGTAACCGAAGGTTATAGACGGTCGCGCCGGCTGTGTATCGTGTGTGTGTGAGGTATAAAAAACACTGTGTTTTACAGGGTTTCGGGGCCCTCGGCAGCCGAGAATTTCAGCTTGGCGAGGTCCAAAAAACGTGAGTTTTTCCAGTGTTTTTGGTTTGCGGGAAGGAAAAATCGTAAAAAGTTGTATTGGAAGATTGTGTCAACATAAATTGCCTAACATATCCCCAACATAGGCCCAAGATAGCCAACATATCCCCAACATATGCTCAACATAGCCTCCAAGATGGCTCAACATAGGGCCAACATGGGGCCAAGATGGGGCCAACATACGCCAACATAGGCCCAACCTAGGCCAACATAGGCCTAACATAGGGCAACATAGGCCCAACATCGGCGCAACTTGGGCCCAAGATGTGCCCAACATAGACCACATGGGCACAACTTGGCCCAAACTAGGGCTAAGATGCGCACCAGATAGCTTAATTTTGCTCAATATAGGCCCCACCAAGGCCAACATAGGTGTGACATACGCCCCACAGACCCAAGTGGGCCGGCGCCCGGCTGTTAGGCGTAAGCCTTTAAATAATATATCTAGCAACATTTGGATCTTCGGATCTTCGGCACAGTTCGTCGTCCAGGGTAAAGGTAGAAAACTAAAAGAAAAACGAAGAAGAAAAACAAAAGAACCAGAAGAAAACCATCCTCATATTAAAAGAATCTTGTAAACCGAAAGGAAAAAACTATTCCAGGAGCACCATCACTAACCCAACGTGTTCTTCCACCACTGCCACTGCGGTTGCTCGCTTTGTCGTCCCATCTCCCGCCTCTGCTTTGGACGATGCGCCGAGGTGCCGCCCTCACCAAGCTCTCACCGAACGGGGAAACAAGACCGAGCCGGTCTGGGGACCGAGCTGGTCTGGGGACCCAGAATTGAAATACACCTCCAAACCATGCCCTTCTGCGTTTGCCAGAAAGGTCTACTAAATCGATGGAAATGGATGAAATCCGGGAATTTTGCGGGCGTGCGAAAACCGACCTGAGGAAAGAGTCTTAACTTACAAGATTTGCTTTTAACATTTTCAACAATGGCAACACGCATTGGAAACGGAGGTCAGACTTAAAGTTCCACATGTGTTCTTCAGCAAGGCAGCTCCACAAACAAATGGAGCTGGGTTTTTGTTTTGCAGCAGCGATGTTCATGTGCAAAACATCTGTTTTTTGTTGTTCTTTGGGCGACGCGGTGACATGTCATCAAATCAACGAGTCGGTAGAAAGCCATTCGGAATGTCGACCGGGATGCTACTACTCTGCATCGACAAGCATATGACCTTCGGTTTGCTGGATCGGACCTGCACCCAGGGCCAAACGTCTGAACGGGGCCAAACGTCTGAACGGCTGAACCGTACAAGCGAAGCACTGAGAAAGCCCCCAAGCTTTATGTCATTTCTGTTGAGCCGAAACAACCTGCGGGGGTGGATGATTTGGGGGGGAAATTTGCTTTGGGTCGCAAAGGGATCTAGCAGTGCATTGCAGTACATTGTGCCATAATCTAGGGCTCCCGCAGTCTGATTCCACCCAGCCAACTGCACTAAGAGTAGAACAATTGGCACCTTGCAAGTTGTGTTCATCCTCCTTCAGATGGCCCCTCGAGCCGCAAACTTGAAAACTACTCACTTCTCATACAGCACAGCAACCGCGAACAAACCTCAAAGTTGGTCAATGTTGTCGAAATTCATTGCTGTAATTGCAACGTTCCAAAACGTAAGACTGATTTGAAAGACTGATGCCAACCGCTCGGCCTCCATCTCATCTCACGGATGGACCGTTTGTCGTCCGTACCCACTGCTTAAGGGATCCGGTGAGTGGCCATTGTTGGATCATGTTGGATCTAAGCGCTACGATCGAAAGCATAGAAACATGTTGCCGCTCGTATGACGATGGGAAAAAATTGGGGAAAAAAAAACGAACAGTTCTCAAATCGATGTCCACCCTCGAGAAGCCATAAAGTCGGGACTCTTGAGGCCCCTGCTTGGTGGAAGAAACGTAAAGAAATCGGGAAACTGTTTCAAACCATTGGATTCGTTGGATCTTCTTCTGGGCAAAACCCATACCTTGCGTTCTTTTCACCAGACATCTCCCAATCTACCGCGGAATGGCCATGGAATGGACATGAATCCGATTCTGCAAGAGAGTTGAACTGCAGCAGGTGACCTGTGCTTCCAGTTCGCCCAAACCCCCCAGAAGAACCGAGGTGTACACACCGGACCCCCCAATCTACACGTCCCTCCACGGTCTGCGATGCCGCCGTGATCTGATCGAAACGACTGTGGCGAAGAGTGACTACCACGGCGGTGGCTTCGCCAAACGTCCATCGATGGCACCATGGCAGCTTTGGGTGCGTTGTTCTCTGACACCCCCAAATTTGAACACCGCATTTCAATGAAAAAGTTCTATATCAGGGTGTATACATGCTGTATACTGTATACACCATACACATCCAGCTTCGTCTGCGAAGGTGGACATGTTTTTCACCCTGTCAGAGGGTAAAAACCGTCCACCCACAATCGCCGCAAGGAAGAAACACATGTCTCTATTCTTGGACAGTTCCTGACCAAAACATCAACAGAACACTTTCATATTCATATCGCATTCCCCTTCACTCACTTTTAGCAAAAAGCCAGAAGAAACCGTTCTCACAAATATGCTGGATCTCATCTTCACCAGTTCTCCTAGCCTGTTCGGCCCTACTCCGCAAGGCACCACCGGTATGACCCGCCCGGCCTAAGAGCAACACGGCCGGTGCGGCCACCAGGGCACCTGGGCGGAACGGTCCCGTGGGACCGAGCTGGAGGGAAGACCTCCGCCGTGATCAAGAGGGATTATATAATCGAAATCATTTAGATCATTTAGATGCTTGATCTACTGAAATATTGATAAGAGTCTTTTTCTACTATCGATTCTTTAGATTCTTTATCGATCTATATACATCTATACACATACTATTCACCTTGATACTACTAAAGATAGATAAAGGGAGACCCCTGCCCGTATATACATCACCTGCCTTTCTGCTATATAAATACGAGTTTTGTATCTTTATTCACCTTGCAACACGTAGGGTCAGAATTCCAACACATGGAGTGTCTAAGCATGAGACTGGAATCTGTGCCGAAAACGATCCACACCCACTGTTCTGCCCCACATAGATCTGTGTTTCTTTGTGGTGATGACACATTTGGGCACCCGGAAGTGGAATTCGAGTCAATCCGAACAAATCCCTTCTAAGGGATGTGAACCTCCCATGGTTTGGTGGGGGAGGTTGGGCTCTAGGACCCAATTCCCCTGCAAAAGGCTTCAAAAAGAAGACACGCTTCATACGTCTCAAAAACTCCCAACCAACAAAAAAACACTCTTCATTCAACCCTGCTGTTCCTGCCAACCTCCCAATCAATCTGTCGCCTGTCTTAGTCTTGCCGAAACTTCTTCCACAATGAATCCTCATCCGATCTCGTTCTCCCAGGTCGCGAAGACCAGAGCATTCTGCTCGGTCGAATTCGAAGACCAAAACGACGTCACATCATGTAACATCCTTGGGCTTCAAACCTCCAAGTCATCCCACTTCCCGGAAAACTCCTGAGAAAAAAACATCGAGAACTTCGCAACCCGAACTCGAGAACTCAAGAACCTAACTCGAAACAGGAGAAAAGTTCCCTCCTCATATATGTGTCAACCCCACCTGACCAGCTGAAACCCACAGCCCCAGGCAGTTCCAAGGCCCCACACCCAGCAGCTTCCAACTCCACCGTCTCTTCTCGACGCCTCAGCGCGCCGCGAACGGCGCAGCGAGCCGCGGATGGTGCGGCGTCGGACACGTGGAGCTTGGACGCCCAAAAGAAGGGATTTGGAGGCAAAAGCGATACCAAACATGTCAACATGATACCTGGACCCTCCTGTCGGGGTGTCCTGGCTGGACTACCCCACACTACCTATAGGCTTCCAGACAGGGCACCCCTTGGAGGGTCCTGGTACTGTAGATCTCTTAGGAAAAGCAAGTGTCGGCCAGACCACCTGTCGGCCAAGGGAAAGGCATCACAAGCTCCGCATGTCCGGAGCAGCATGTCATCGATTGGTTGTCGTGTGTGTGGTCCTTTCACATGCAAAAGCAACACCCTCGGATGCCGTCGGACGGCGGTGACAGTCAACGCCAATCAGCGCTGTTCAGTGGACAAAGCCGCACAAAGCTTTGGGATTCTTCTCGGCTTCTGGCCATTCCGGACAGGGAGGATGGGGTAATACTAGGAGGATTGGGGGGGGGGGGCTCAACTTCATTAATTCCGATGTCTTTGTGTTGCGGTGCTGCATTTCCCGGATTTCTATGGAAGTTGAGACATCTTGCTTGCCCCTGTAGGTCACCAATTCTACCTCAGACTTCTGTCTTTGTACTAGCAACCTTTTTGAGCCACTGGTTACAGGTAGCGCCCGATCGGCGCCTTTTCCCTGGCGCAGCGCTGTTCAGAAATGGAAAGTCATGGGGGTTCTATAGCTTTCTTCCGCCAAATCCTCCACACCAGCTGCTAGCCTCGTAGAAAAAAAGAAAAAAGAACACATGCGGCCGGAGGCCCCTTCCAGCGCTTAAAGAAAAACAGCGCCCACACCAGTGGTGCCCTGCCTGGGGTCATGGTAAAGCCCTCCTGGAGCACCGGCATGTTCGGTGCTCGGACTGTGTCGCTACGGTCACTCGGTCGCGCTGGGGGGGGGGGTTGACCCACCCAGACGCTCCACACAGCCACGACAGGTCCCTGGAAACCGGATTTGAGACCCCGAGGGACGAGCGATCTGTGCAGGTCCAGGAGCATCTGGCAATCCCTTACGGGGCAAGCGGATTCGCCGAATCGATCCCTCCGTGACTTACGGGGACTGCCACTACTGGCACCACGCTGGACATGTGTGCGTGCTGCGGCACAAATGGACCCAATGGGATTGCTCGAACCCAGAGAAGAAGACATCCGACATCCTAACCAAATCCTGTTTACATGGAAAGCATGCGGAGTTCTGTCTATAGTGCAGGAGTCACAAAGGGGTGCCTTTTTAGTCCCTAAGTGAGTGGATCATGGGCACCCCTACTTATCCTCCATTAGGCACCCTAATTCGTCACCTTTTGATGTTTGCTTCGTGGACGTCTGCACTTCTTCGTTCGTTCCGTGAGCCGCCGCGTCGTTCTCCTCGAGGCTCTCTGCTGTGCAAAGTCCCAGACTCTCGTCCTGTTGGCGCTGAATCGAGCATCGGTGGGATGAGTGTCTCGGAACCCTCTCTTAACAAAGAAAGAAGCAAAAATCACCTAAGTTCAACCGTTCCGGTGAAAAAAAACTCGAAATGAAGTGAGTGAAAAAGCCTCTCGTAGGTTTGCTTTGAGTTGCCTTTCTTTAGGGTACTTGCCTCTATGGGTACCTGACTGGGTACCTGAAGGTTCGAATGCTCGGAACTCTGGAACCGGGGGAGCAAGTCCCAACCAAACAACTGTTTGTTGGCCAACTTGTTTACCACCATCACTGGTGGTGGCAAGACAGGCTTGAGACAGTTAAGAGGTTTGGATGCTTTATAAAGTCAGTCAGGGGCACTAAACTGAAAGTTCACCTGAACCTCAGAGCCACCAAGAGTGTGAGACGGGCTCTAGCGCTGCTGGGCCAGGGAATTTAGTCAGTAGAATGACGCCCCAGCCGGGAACTGATCGTTTGGAGAAGCTCTGGAATCAAACCACTGCTGTCATACCACAAGGAATCACTCTGCCTGCAGCTCCAAAACTTTGAGATGTTCAATCAGCCAGAAATCATCCCTTTTCAATGGGTGTCCTGCTTAATTAAAATAGATCCCTATAGTGGGCTGGCTAGTCTTGCAAGGTCTTGAGGTGACTGCTCCCACCAACCTCCAAGGAACCTGTTCATCCCAACGAACTTGGAGGACTTCGTTGCGTTTGCAACTGCCCTCGCCGGGTGGATCACTGAAGCGGGGACCAGACATACCAGACCTGCCACCTCGACCCTTTTTGATGAATGTACCATTCTTGTATAGGAAGACGTTCACCATCCTCCTTAACGTATTTCAACTGTTCCATCAGTCAAGTCTGCTTGATCGACTCCATTCTTCCCCTCAAACCACTGCACAGCCCTCCAGCGTCGCCTCATGGTGCAGCTCTCTGGACGATGGCATGGCCTCTTCGGTTGTCTTTCGGCCCGGTGTCTTTTCAGGTGCCGATGTGTTCGGCCCGGTTCAGGAGGTCAAATGGATCCAAATGGTCCATTTACCAGGCCTACTTTTGGCCGGGTGGCAAACGCACTCCATGTTCTGTTCGCCAGTCTGAAAAACACTCCCGGAAACAATATGCTGGAAGTGGACAAAGGCCCCTTGGATGACCATGTTCCGAATACCAAACAACTACTGAACTCCACTTCCATGATTGCTTCAAGGAGTGTATATATGTATAGGTCAAAAGCTTTGTTTCCGGAGGTCGAGTCGTCTCACACCCCGAACGCACACTTTCCACGCCGGACTCATCGGACGATTCGGACACCCGGTTCCCGGCCGACCTCAGGTCTCCCTGACTGGTCAAGTCAAGCGCAGACCGCCGGACTCTGACGGTGCTGGGTTCTGTGAAAGACCCAAAGTCAAACAAAGGTGTTGCAAGAGATCAACAAAACCAGCAGTCCAGAAATCTGCGATTCGTTGCTGCCAAAGATCTTGAGATCCAATCTTGAGATCCGGGGTGGATAGTTGACAGAAACCCGTGGTTTCTTTCTGCGTGGATTGTCTAGAACTGTAATTCTGGTGGATTCTTTCCTGCCAATCCAGTCGAAAGCCCATCTGCGCAGCCAATCCTCAGGTGTTCTCGCCTCGTGCACTGCCGTCGGAAAATAAAGAAGTTGAGCCCGGCTACACTTGGAGATAAAAGCTGCGAGGATGGCGCAAAGTTCATCCAGCATGCTTCACGGGAAAGCCAGCAACGAAAATGACGAGGAAAACAATTACACGAATTACAGAGCTTGGCTGAATCCGTATAATTTTAGACATGCATCAATTCCACTTGTGAGGAAATCTCAGCTTTTGCAGGATTGGGTAGGTTTATCAACACTAAACCAGTCCGCAGCAAAACGGCGGAGCTTCTCAGCAAAACGACTGTGAGTTGTTCTGCCGTGAATCCATATCCCAGACGCTTCGCAGGGAAGCTTTAACAATGACTTGCCACATCCTGTGGTTCCCGGTGTTCCGAAGGGAGATTCCTCTTCGGGGATTCATTTTTGCCTGTGGTTCCGAAACCGGTTTGGTTCCCGTCTGCCAGAAAAGCTGGTGTTCTGAAGGGAGATTCCTAATGAACTTTGTCGGAAGACCCTCGCACGTGGGTGCCAGCGACGACATGTCATCTGGTCGGCCAGGACGAACTACTCGAGGGAAGAAGAACACATCACTGATCGAGCGCAGGATGCTTTCAGCCTAGCAGGAACCTCCCAAGTGGTATTCCATGATCCTATCCCCAAGATGCTTCCCAATTCATAGTGCATTTTGTGGTCATCAAGTTCTATATAGATGTTTCTGGGTTCGGAAATGGTCAAAATCCACTTTTCCCATGAATATGTTGGATAGACTTACTTTCAGTGGTTCGTTCCCAAAAGCTTCTGGCTCCCAAAAGCCATCGTTTTTCCTTCCGCCCTGGACATCCCAGGCCTGGGGCCCCTCGCTTTGGATCCAAGCTTGGTGGTTTTTGGGGGTCCATTCTGAGGTCAAACCCACCTCAAAATATTCCTCATCACCCGAAGAAGGCTTACACTCCCTGAAACAATCATGGAAGTGGACAGTGGCCCCTTGGAAGACGACTTTCCTCTACCAAGAGGGGGTTGTTCACTTCCATGATCGTTGCAGGGAGGGTACTTCCGTTATCCCAAACACTCCAAGTACAAGGGCGGTCGTCCCATCAGGCATGCGAGGCCGGGTCCGGGTCCACATCCCCGTTTGGGGGCTCCCCATTGCCATCTCCACAGAAGGTAGGGAGGTGTTAGACCCCCCCAAGCCCAAAGACAACCACCCCGCTCCCACCGAAGCGGGATGACCACGGATGGCGCCGGGCTTGTCGGATCGCCATCCGGCCCCGAGTCTCGTGAGTCTCCGATGACGCGGTGAGGTCCGGCGACCCCTCGTCCGCTCTCCACAGAAAGCGGATCCTCAAGTTTGATCTGGACCAAAGTCTTGACCTCGTCGATCCGAGTCTGAGACTCCAGACACTCCGGAGGGGCGTTTTTCGCGTTTTTGGCAAGGCGGGCGACTGAGGGGCGACTGGGTGACCTGGAAGAAGAAGTTGATTGTTAGCTATTCGCATGACCCTGCAGGCCCTGTGACTTGATGACTTGATGACTTGATGACTTGACCTGCGCTGTGGTGGATTCACTGAGAAAACTTATTGTGGATCGCCGGTATGTTATAATTGCAATACGATATAGTTATACATGTTTCTTTGGGAAAATAATTCTACCTCTTGGTGTGGTTGATGTTTGACCTGAATACGTTCGAATGTTCTTGAACTCAGTTCCACAATCTGGGCCGCCGGGCCCCTTTGAAGAAGTTGAGACAAACTATATAGTACAAACACAGGCCCATCCGAAAGCCGGAAAATGGTCTTGTCTTTGGATTGTCAGCCTATCAACTACAGGTAGACGGACGACACTCCTTGGACTCCTTATCGTTACGTGGACAACCACCTGTTTGGTATTCGGATGTATCCGGAACATGGTCATCCTTTCGGGGCCATTGTCCACGTAACCATGGATGATTCCAGGGAGTGCTATGTCTATACTCCGGTGACAGTGCTTTGAAACATGGACACCGTTCTCACATTGGACTGGATAGGGGAAAAAAACACCGCTTCCACCAAAGGTCGTCAGAAAGCACCCTCGAATTGAAGTCAGCACCTCAACCCCATGTTCACCAAAGTGCGTCAGCACCTCACGGGAAGAAAGAGGTTTACCTCCGTGTGAGTCATCTTCCCAGTGGTGCAAAAGAAGTACTAGATTAGACACCTGTTGTCCCTCGGCGCCAAGTGCATTTTGAGCGGTGGTGAAGAAGCGCTCAATGGCCCCACTACTACTCAACTGGGAGCCGTTGTCACCTTGGTTGTGGTCTCGGTTGTTCTTGGCATGTTCAACCAATCTTGCAGACCTTTGCTTCAAACATGCACTTCTTTGTGCGTTTGTTTTCCATCTGTTTCCCCACAGAGTGATCGTTATTCCTTCAACACAGTCACCAGGGAGGGTGGTTTTCGGACTACCGCAGATGTAGCCAGTGTCGTGCTGAAACGGATGTCACTGGCAGGTCTGTTCTTCCAGCAAAACAAGGGTGAGCTTCCCTGCTTCCGGAAAACGGGCACGCGTCCCTGCTCAGCAGAATGCAACAGACCCGTCCGACTGCGACTCCCCCCATCGTCCGTTTCGACCTCCAGTTCATCTTCCTTGACCACCTGGAGAGCGAGGCCACCGGTGGCCCAAGCACTCTCGGCCAAGCTTGGCCACCAACGGACGGACATAGCCGTTCGAGTTGGGCCGTGAAATCATGGGTGTACGCATGGTTCCTTGTGAAGCATTCTTCCGAACACTGGTCTGCCCCGGTGAAAGAAGGAAAAACAACAATTGATTTGATTAAAATTTAAGTTCAATTTCTACATCATGAAACATCAAGAGACCCAAACGCATGTTTAATGTGCCCTGGTTGCCAGCCTCATAGAGACACAAAAGTCTAACACCCCCTTTTCGATTGGGTTGGAGTTTCTTGGCTGGAGCAGAAAAGCACCCACAATCTAAGCGCGCTCGACCTTTTGCAGGCCCCAACCCCCATCAACCCCTCCCCAAAACCCCTCAACCCCTGCGCTCCAAAAGGTGCAATCTCATGAAATCTCAGTGAAATGCGAAATCTCAGCCAAGAACCGGCCAAAAACCCTGCACAACCTCTGAGTTTCGGTCGCCCGGTTGTTCCGTCGGCAGGTCCACAGCGTCGGGATCCACCGAGCCTCCAGGTAGCGATGGGAGACGAAGGGCAGCTCCCCCGACAAGCCGTGCCTGGGCGGGACCAGTGCCGAACGCGTTTGGTGGATCGGTTATACCGGTTTGCTTGGGCCAGTTGGATTGGTTGGAACATGGAGTTGTTCAACCGATAGATCTCCAAGATAGGAATGCTTCATTGCAAAGGAGACTGAATGTACCAGAGTCGCAGTATGTCCCAATGTGTGTGTGTATGTGCAGGAAAAGAAACCCCAGGTTCATCCCTCAAATGTCTATACTCCATTGGCCTTTCCAATCCGTCAGCCTGAACTGTCCGCTCTGGCACCTCTGGACCCGCCTCTGGACCCACGACATCTTGGCACCTCTTTAGACCAGGCGAAGTGGTGCCGAGTTCTTACTACTCAGTGGTGCCGAATCAGTCCCGATGGAGAGTATACTCGACTGGAGGTGTATCTTGTTGAGACAGTGCTGTTTAGACAATAGCTTCCACATGCTTCTACACCCAAAACCACTTGCAAAAGCAGGTGAGGTCGATCTGGCCCAGTCTGCCTGCTGGTGGGGGAGTCCTTTTGCTGGAAGTTTGAGAAAGGTGTTTGTGCTCAGAAACCCAGAGCAAGATAAGATTGGGTAGATCCCGAGCTACCCCGAGCTGCCCCTGGGCAACCCGGAACAAGAGTGGGATGATGAAACTCCGTTCTCCAAAGGCGATCCGACCAGACGCATCGACCTTCGCCACAAAAACCCTCCGACTCACGGCGCGTCTGGGCGCACGTCGACCTTCGGTGGTGGTCCATCGGCGCGTCTTGAGCTCGCTGCGGATAGATGGTGATGCTCTCGATCCACAGAGGCTCTAAACCTCGGTTTGGGCCAACCGGCGAACCGAGGAAAAGCTCCAGATGGAGGAGGAGGAATGGAGTGGAATGGAACGGAAAAAATCGGAGGGTGCAACAGGTTATATACATGTATCAATCATGTATCTGAATTTGGGGCTCACGGTGAAAGGGGGAAATTGAAAGGATGTAAAGGAAATGAAAGGAAAATGAGTCTGCGGGAAGGCTCCAAGGTGATGTATGTCTTTACTGGGCCCAACAAACGTCCCGCTGCAGTGAAGCAGTCGGGTGGAAGGTCCAGTGCCTTCACACCAAAACCACTGGGTGGCCTGCTTTCATAGAAGCATTTCCGGGGAATTCTGGAGACCAAAATGGCCAACACGCACACATGTCGAAGTAGAATTGAGGCAGCTCCTCTTACAAGCTTCGCATCAATACTTGCAAAATTGGCTAGTTGCTGGTGCCAATTTGGGTTTGTCATGGGGGGCCATCAATAAAGCCAAACAAAAATTGCATATATATATATATAATATAATATATATATATATGGGTCGTGTCAGTTGAAGGTCTAGACTACCCTACCAAACAGTGATTTGGCAAAAAAGAACACTCGCCTGCCGCAGCCAACTGCTGCAAACAACTCACCAGCACCGCATGGGCCGAGTTGAACAGCTGACGCTGGACCGCCGAGATCTCGGCCCCGATCACTCCATGGGCTCCATTGGACTGGAGTATGCAGTTTAACCCTCCACCATGCAGCAGCAGCAGTCCAGGAACCAGTTCAACCACCCGGTTCCTCTGGCAGTCGGAGTCAGACTATGGCAGTCGGACCTACTATGGCTACTATGCTCATCGTTGGACAGGGATATGAAGATCTTCGACTCTTTGGAGTCCCCCTGAGTCTCTCACCGGCCGATGGTCCTGGGACACGTTTCGGAGAGTGGAACGACGTGGAACTGCGTATATGGTGGAGGTTGATTTTGGAGGTCCAGTGCTTGGGGTGGTTTTTAGATCGTAGCAAGTGCCTCCTGGACCCTGCAAGAACCACCCCAGAAACTGTTGGTATGACTTTTTCCTTTGCCAACAGCGGCTTGTGTGAAGCCAACTACTTTTTTTTGCCACACCCACTATATAGATTATTTGTGACAAGTGATTGGACAGTTCATTTTTTTTCCGTACCTGTCTTGATCAAGAGTGCACTCAAAATAATAAAAGAGACACTTCTGTCAGTGATCGAGTCTGGTATGGTCACACTTGCCGAAGATCGGCGGTCAGCTCTAGGACATTCATCCCGATCTGGGTCACTGAGCTGCAAATTGGTTCACTTGACAAAGAGCGGCCAGCGGCAGTTTGCAAAAAATAAAAATATCAGCAATAATGTGATGGAGTGAATGGTCACCCTTTCCAACAAGCCTGCAACTGTCACCAATGGTCACCAATCTTGGTCACGGAATTAGGTATTGTCACACTGCGAAGGCAGCGGCGCCCAATCTCAGTCACAGAGTCAGAAATGGTGAGTCTAGCCGAGGCATTGCAACGCAAGAAAGCTCACCGTATGATTGATGACAGTTTCGTTGGAATCACAAAATATCACAGGTAGATACAAGATGATACAAGTAGAATGTGTTACAATGAGGGACCTCCAGTCAAATTTGGAGCCCGTCTTGATGGGAGCATCTTGCTGTCTAGGAGTACCACAGGCGATGTGTTCGCCACGTCATCCTTTAAGAGGCGTTGTGTCCTATAATGACCTCTAGCTGAGCTCACAGGTGCAACAACCATGTGAGCTTGCTATCCTGCTTGAGCTCCCTGCCAGTCATTTCTGGAGTACTTCGAAAGCAAGCGTGTCTCCCTTCAGCTGAATGAATGACATCTCCATTGCCATATAAGGATTACACCTTAAGAAAATGAGATTGATCCCTTTACTGCTCTACGCTCAGTTTCGGATGTTTTGATATGTTCTGTTCGTGTTCTCCGCATCTTTGATAGCAGCAGAACCCCTGCCCAAAATTCACTTCAACAAGCACATACAGTGATTGAAACTCATGAAACTTGCCCCCAAAGACGCAGCCCGCCCACGGACGCCGACGCAGACGCAGACGGATGCTCCGGGTCGCTCCGGGTCGCGGCCGCTCCGCTCCGCCGTCGTCCTGCACCAGGGAGGAAGGAGAAGCCCAGGTGAGTCAGTGGTCGAGGACGGACCACCTGAGGCGGACGGGTCGGACGGGTCGGACGGACCGTTGCTTCACGGTCGTGGCCGTTGCTCCACGGCGTGGGTCGGTGTGACGCGGCATTCTATTAAGACGTGTAAAGCATGTTCTTCAGACATGCTGTGGAGGGGGAGAGCTGCAAACAGGTTCAAGCTGCAGAATTTAGGAGGATCAATTGGTAGAGATGTTCGGCATCGCCAAGCTTATGTCTTATGTGTCTGTTCTCACATGATGATACGAGTGTTGCTTTCTTCCGCTTGTTGTTAGAGTGATACCTGAAACTATGTCGTGTGGGTTCAGAAAGCCGCAAAAACGAAGATCCCTCAAGCAGCTCGAATTCCAGCCCTGTCGGATTCCGCCTTTCCCCCTGGCCAACCACCCACCCCCACCTCCACCCACCCACTTCAGACCACCCTGCTCGGTCCCACCAGGGTTTCTCTCTCGCCTTCGCGACGAAGAAGTGATCCGACAAGAGCCCCGGCACGGTGCCCACCTCAAAACCATCGGAGAATGGACCACGTCGGAGGGTCCCACGTCGGAGGGTCCCTCTCCGAGAGGGTGGAGCGCCCACGAAAAGGGGCGGAAAGCACCTAAAGGTGGCACCCAGTTGCAGAGACGAGTGGACTCAGATCCCATCAACATGGGCCTGGGATAGTTAAACTCATGGGGAGATGAAGGTGTGAAGATATATGGATGCACCGGTGTGTATTAGAGTAGGGAGCGGTCTTCCGTATCGACGTCCCGTCGTTTTCGGAGCCACCGAAACGGTGCCACCGTTCCGAGAAGAACAACACCTACCGACGTTAGGAGTCATGTTTTTTTTTGCAATACTCCCTAGGGATCCAAGTACCTTCTCACAAGGTGATTGGAGACACTCTAACTACTCTAATGTAGGTTCTGAGGGTCCAAGTACCTTCTGAGAAGGTACTTGGATCTCTATAGGGACTAATTATTGGACTAATCAACTCCCGAAGGACTCATGCGGTCCGGATCGACAACTCCTGCGGTCCAGATCATTCCGGACTCCTGCGGATCTACAACTCCTGATTCCTGTTGTTTCGTTTGCGTCTCTACAACGCTGACCGAAGATGAACGAAGAGTGACTCACACTCCCAGACCTGCCGTGACCAAGTCGTGACCAGGTGTGACATCGTGACCGTCACCAACTCCCACGAGTGGGACGTCCATGTCCCAAAACTGGGTGTGCGAAGCGCGACGTCCGAAACAACAGATCTTAATCTTCTTGATAAAACCCAATCAGATCTGCTTCTGATCTTCATACCAGGACCCACAGTCGGGGTGGTTCATGGACATCCTGAATCTAAGGAGCTATAATTGGACACCCCTGGGCCGGGGGCCCTGGCGATCTTCCCAAACAGTTGGTCAGTAGATCAAGGGATCCCATCCCACCAACTCGATGGAGTGAACGGTGTGAGCCCAGCCACGATGACGTAGTGCTTTCCATCGCTCCCTTCAAGGCAGGCGGCCCAAAACCTGGGAAAGAATGGACAAAACATGAGGAACGTTCCTGGGTTTCTTGAGGCAGCACCAGACAGCAGCGAAGGAGGGTTGGTGTCTGTAAGTGTGTGTGTGTGTGTGAGTCACTTAGTGTGTGTGTGTGTGTGTCGGTTGCGCCACAACCACTGCGGCTATTGGCAGGTTTGGCCTCACGGCTCGCCCGCTACCCCGCCCGGCGAACGGGCGTCACGGCTGGGGCGTCCCAACATGTGCCGCTGCCCCACCTGCCAAGTCGACCGGGGCGTCCAAGCTGGGACCGTGAGTCGACTCAGTCCGGAGCAACAGGGAGATCAAGGTCAAGAGCTCATTGTTGGAGAGGTGGGACGTAACAAAGAAACGGATCCTGGTGCCCATCTACCTTTAATGGACAGCAGTGGATGTTTCAAAGTGGACAGCATCTGGATGTAGACTGCAAAGTGGATGTTTCATGGATGGTGGCCGTTGTTTTGGCCGGAATCTCCGCCAATAACCGGGTAAACAATGAGAATGGGTATATAAACTCCACTTCGGTGATTGTTGGGAGGGTAAAAGACATGTTAGCTGGGGATCTTGTGGTGGTCCTTGTGGTGGTCAGGCCACTTCCCCCCCACATGCCGCACCAACAGAATGGTCAACTGGTTGGCTGACGGGGCAACAGTGATTCAAGAAATGCTATTACTCTTCTCCTGAGACACAACAACACCAAATCTCCAGTGAACATCTTCACTAGTGAGCTGGGTGCGTGATAGAAAAGTCATGGCCAGTCAGGTCAGCAGTTTAAAAGGACCCACACAGCATCTTTTCAGGATCGATGATCTCTTCAAAAAGGCCAAATCTACCATTTGAATCTTCTTCAAAAAGAAACAAAAAACCGTGGTGACGGTCCTCCCGCCTCCTCCCCATCCGTCCATCATCCGTCCCCGTCCCCGTCCCGGGCCGTCCCAAAGGTCTCATCGGCCACCACCTTCTGAACTCCCGGCCTGGACGGTACCGACCGACACGTGCCGACGGCCCGGCCGACGGGTTGGTATCTTTTGGGGTAGGGAATGTCCGGGAACGTGTCCGGGAACAACCAAACGCCCAATATGGATTGTGGTATAAATCCTAAAGTCTACCCCTCCTTCTTCACAAGTACCAGCTCAAAATCTCTTTCTTCCCCTGGTTTTGTCCCAAACTTTTGTCCAAACGCCTCTGTTCCATCCACCATCGACAACCCACGACCGCCCCACGACCGACCCGACGACCCGACGGACGACCCGGGGAACGGGACGGCGCCTGCCACGGCTGCCCGCCTGGAGTGGATGGGTCAGACCCAAGCGAGGAGTCGTTGGAGCACTTCTGTTTTGGATCTCCCTGGATCTGAGGTCCTGAAGGGGTCCATGTTCCTTTGGAATCGTTCGAGAGCCATTCAACTCACCCAAAGGATGATGAAGGAAAGTCCCTTGGACTTCACAAACAGGGTCTTTGAGTCATTTGAGTTCGCAACCAATGTAACACCCCAGGTTCGGGGCCTCGGGAACTCTCCCAGGAGCGGTCTCGTGCCACCCATCGAGGAGTGTTTTGCTCTAGAACCGTTCCACAGGGTGCCCAACCACCAACCACTCTCAACCAATAGAGCCCCAAGCGAAGCTGTGACCTCATGCAACCCACGTGCAGAGGTGACTAACTGTTGTTTCTCCTTCATGGCTGACCGCCCCCTGAAAAAAATTCAGCCGCATCGTTCGTTCTGCGAGCTGTTTACCCAGCACTTTCTTCTCAGAATCAGGGGTGGTCACCTCAGCTGTCGACCAGATCCGTGACACGCCGTTCACATGGTCACCACCCTTCACTCGAGGCACGCTGAAGTGCCATTCGGAATGGCCACGCCGGAAGCTCAAGAGGAAGTCGTTGGGCAAGCGATCCTCCTTGCACCCAGGTACGACGGGGACGACAGGCCAGGCTTTGCTATTTAAATAGCAAGATGATGCAAAGATGTCTTGTTCTTGCTCAGCGATCGTGATGCTTGGGTACAAACAAGATATCTTGCTTAGCCACAGTCCTCTGCCTCTTGATTCCTCCCGCAAGTTTTCCGCCGATGTCCCGTTCATGGTCCATTTCCAACATGCTCCAGAAAAAACCTTTGACATGCATCACACAGCACAACGACATTCAGGACAACTCCAGCCACTCGCGAACAAGGTATACGGTATAGTTGCAACAGTTAACATTCATCACACGCAAGCTTGCCCTCTGCAAAGGCAAAACATGTGGACGTGTCAAACAACCAAGAAGGAACACAAGAACACAAGACAAATTCGGAACGCCCCTTGGGCCCGTTTTCGAACCATATACCCCCGTTTTCATGAACACTACATCTTAAGACCTTCCACCATAACCCTTTCCTCTAAGACCTCAGCAAATCCGATCTCCCAAGATCAGACTACATCTCCAGACCTTCCATCCGATCCAGTCCGATCTTCTCCCGTCTCGCTCCGATCTCCTCGAGGTCCGGACTGTCAGGCCCGGGCTCGTCGCGCAGGTTCACCTGCGAAGCCCGGTCACGGGCGGTTTCGCACGGGCGGAGCACGCACGGAAGGTCACGGGTGGTCCGACTCCGACTCTCCCCTTCTCCTTTCTGGGGATCTGTTTAGATTTGTAGGGCAAAGAGTGAACTGACAGTGAACTGAGTTGCCCCCCCCTTGTTTCGCTGGAAGAAACCATCGTGTGGACTGCAAGTTAAAGTTGTTTGAAGAGACGTATACGAGTGTTTGAAAATGATTGAACACCAGGTTGAAAGTCGCTGTTCCCAAAACGGATGGATAAAGGTTAATTCTATATTTGCTTGTTGGTCTGCAGGGGTTTGGAAACGTGTTACATGTGTAACTGTCAACCTCCAAATTCATCCCAGAAGCATTTGTAAACTCCTGCTCACTTTTCAGCAACAGTCAAATGCAAAAAAAGGCAATGCTGACTTTGAAGTGGACAGCTCGTTTTGCTCGCTTTGGCTGGCTAAACTAAACCGGGCCTTCGGAAGGTTCCGAAGCCAAACCGGGCGAAGAATGCACAGCTACAGAGCAAGGACCGCAAGGAAACAGGGAAGGGAATCAAGAGTCGCATCTCTCAGGAGTCACATGTCGCGGGTGGTGTTTCTGTTCGACAGGAGTGAGATGTCTCTCTCCGAAACCACCTCTAACCGACCTATCCCTATCCTCCGTGAGGGGATGCGGCACCCCGATCCTTCCGACGAACGGTCATGGTCACGTTGGCTTCGTTCATGTTTACTCTTATCATCTCTTAATAAGAGTTGGCCATGGCATGCCATGGCTACTTTAACTGTGGAGATCTAGGACTGTTTCTGAAAACTGCAGCGCTATTTCGTCTCTTATCGTGTTCTTCTCAAGTCAAGCAATTCTAGAACCCAGAAAACCTGCAAAGATTCAACTGTGAGCGGTGGGGATTCTGGACAACCCCCCCATGAAGTCATCTGAACTTCATCACCAACAGCAACTCACTTTCGGCCCAAAAAGGAAGCTCATGGAAGTCACTTCAACTCCATCACCAAATCGGGAGTTTCACCTAGAAAAAAAGCGATGAAACTGAAGCGATTCGTTACGCCACAGGAGGGAACCACTTCCGAGACTCATTGTCCGGTGCCACTGGTGTCTTTCTAAGTAGGAAAGCTTATCACCCAAGTGTAGACCTCAGGATGTCTACCACATCAGCCGTCCGCAATCAGATTCGCCTTGATCGAACTCTCAACCATTTCCTAAGTCCAGAATAGAAAGAACACGCACGCATTCATTCACCCTTCACACACCACCAGGTCGATATACCTACTCAAACCCTTCTTCTTCCGGCAAAGGCCCTTCAAATCTCGTCCCCATGTCCTCCACCGTGCCCTCGCAGCGTGACCGTCCCCCATTCGCCTCAAAGCCCTCGCCGAAGTTCACGTGGCCCGGTTCCAGCGCCCAGCTGAAGAGACCGCCCATCGAGGCGCCCTCCTGGCGGGTCCAGCAAGAGGCGAAAATAGCAGGCGAGGAGAGGGTTGAGGAGCAGGCAGGGGAGGCGGAAGAAACCCCAAAAACGGAGGATGTGGAGAGGTGCAAGGATCATGGCAAGTATCTAGATGATTCATGATGATTCCACCTGGATGTTCCAGAAGAGTTTCAAGAGTTCTTGACTCCAAGAAGTTTCACTCGAGGAATCTTCACCTGTGCAGTCCACCCTTACATGACTTCCGCATCGGTCCAAAAACCGAATGCGTCGGATTAATCTCTCTCTCTCTCTCTCTCTCTCTTCGCTCGTTTTTTTCATGACCGGCAGGTGCACCCGTGTGCTCCTCCCAGGAGCCAGGCCCTTGGAAATGCGGAAGACACCATTCAGGCCTCAGCTGGTGATATGTCATGTTCCACATCCACATGTATAACTGGTCCGTGGCCGTGCAGCAAGTCTGTGAAACCAGCTAGCCCAGCGATGATTGCAGTCGGATGCCGTCAGAAACAAGAGACCACTTCATAATCTGCAACCCAGGTGGTGATGGCACAACAAAATCCACTGCGGCCACAAGGTCACCGTTCGTATCTCTTCAGTGCATGGCAATGGGTCACAAACCCTCCGCTGGTCGTCTGAGATGGTTGGCCTCCAAGGCTTCCCTGCCCATCCTGTTTGACCACGCTTGTCAACCAATTGCACTGGAAAAACCACTTGCCCAGCAATCCTTCGAAGAACGGGCCGTAGACAAAGCCCCCCGAGGCGATCTCCGTCTCAGTTCACCGAGAGGCCGCCAGACCACCTGACCGTTGGTCCGAAGCAACTTCACTGAGGGCCACGGCCTTAGGCGCGGCACGGCGTGTTCGGCGCCGGCGCTGGTGATGGGGATATCTCTCAAGAAATGCCGTGGTTGGAATCCCGTTTGGAGATGTAATAACATGTTTAAACATTATATAATCCCCACCCATTATCCAGCGGGACGTGAAATATTGTAAATTTGTATTTTCCTGAATGCGGGTGCCTGGAAGATGTAACTTACACTTTCTGAAAAAAAGAAATATGGAATCTGACAGTTACAATTTATATATATATACACATCCTCTCTCACAACATGTAACAACTTGCACAAAATGCAAGTTGCAATGTCCAGGCAGTTTCCCCGAGATCTCATTTTTCCCGAAGTGTAAGCAGGCTGAGCTGAGAGAGCATTTACATAGAATAACATAAGTGCGCAGGAGCCACGGCCATCTAAACTTACTTGTTTCTAGCTTCGAAGATGCCCAAGAATGCCAGCTAGCCAACTAAAATGCCCCGATTCAATGATGAAAAAGTAATTCCTCCTTTTCATCAATGGTGAAAAAGGGCAACAGGAGGACAAGGTCTGGAGACTGCGGCCAAGGTGGTGTCAACAAGAGGACAACACCAGAACATGTGGAAGACAAGAAGAGGACAAGAGAAGGTCAAGAGGAAGACAAGAGGAGGACAACAGGAGGACGAGAAGAGGACAAGAGGAGCGACAAGAAGGAGAGGAAAAGAGAGGAAAACGAGGACAACAGGAGGACAAGGTCAGCAGACCGGCTGGCAGCCGTGGCCAAGAAGAGGACAACAACAGGCCGACAAGAATTGGAACATGGATAAACTCGATCGTAGCTTTGTGACCTATATAGCTAGACTCGATCGTTGGTAAATGACCGCAGTAATTAAACTGGATAGGAATTGTGGGTGTGTATATATATATATATATCCTGAAGAGAGATACATTGGAGCACGAAGAGCAAGAGTTTCTACATGTTACTGAAAATTTGCTATGTAAAGCCCACGGGGCGCGGCACCTGCACCGCTTGCCTGTCTCGCAAACTACGCTGTGACGGTGTGCATGACTTGCACCAAGAAACACCTGCATCTCAGTCACTGTGGGCAGCATCCTCCCAACAGGTTCACTTTCGAACCATCGAAGCCGGTTAGAACGAACGAGGACACATCGAACGCGAAGGAGACACATCGAAGGAGCATGACAGGTCTCGTAAGCATGACAGTAGGTTTGTCTCGTTTCATCTTGGTTTTCGCAGATCCATCGAAATATTTATATGGGCATCCAAAACATGTTTCCAAATGCAAAGCCCTTGTGGTCATGGGATTGAGGATGGTTGCAGGATGTTGCAGGGATCTCTCAGTGACCTGTCAAGACATACTGCATCCGTCCCTTCCGGGCGCCCGACGCGGTCAAGCTGTCCCTCAAGTAGAGCCGCCCCGGCGCGCAGCTGGGTGAGAATCTGCGCGTTTCCGCGTGCTTGGCGCGTGAAACAGAAGCAAACACACGTTCTCATTATATGTCTTCTTGATCAATCCTAGCCTTTAGTTTTTTTGCCTTGATTGATTGAATCTTATCAGAATAGTCTTCTTATTGGCTGTTTCGTTGTCACTTATTTAATAGTTTAAAAAACACTATTATAAGTAATTAACCATTTTTGGGACCGTCCCAATCCAAATGCAAGGCCATCCGAAGTGATGGCACCCTTGATGCTGCCAAATGCGACATCCCTAAATGAACAGAGCGAACGACAAGGAAGGTCAACCACAATCTTTTACAATATGATCCGTGTCCGTCTGCCCATCTCAAAAGAAATCATTGTTTCAGCTTGGTGCAAAATTGTCCATCTCATGCTATGTAATGGTCTGTGGATGTCTGTGGTATAGTTCCAGTATTGTTTGCACATGTTCGGAATGCGGTCATGGTTTGGAATCTGTTAGGGTGCTTCGCATCTTGTTCTACTTCATTCAAAAATCTGAAATCCTGGACGCATTCATCGCTTCACTTGACAATCATCTGAACAAAAGCGCTCCCAGTGGAGTGTTACAGGTGCAAACCTCTTGAGTCGCGAGTCCACCGCCGCGACTCGGTTCAGGGCCTCCGAAAACAATGCACGCAGGAGGCGCCATGGTCATCTTCTCCATCTTCGCTCCACCTGTTTCAAAGCTGAGACAGCTAGAAGGATACGAAGCATGGGCAGGTCAGCAAGCCTGCCAAATTGGCACATCGAAACACATGTTCGCAGTACCTCGATCAACTCCTACCTCGCACAGGGCGTGAATCTTGTAGCTGACATTGATTCGCAAAGTGTTGGGCAGCATGCAAGCTAGTATCACACGCTTACTCGTGCTTTTGGCAGCTGAGCGTAAAGGCTGGCGGTCCAAATTGACTTTAAGGGTTACTTCCTAATGCTGCAGAAAAGATTTTGCAAAATGCTGCAAGGAAGGCCACCCATCTGAGGACTACATCGCGTGATGCGACCTGCACTTGTGACCAGGTTAGAACCCCATGGTGCGTGTGATCATGGTCTCCCTATCTCGATGCAAGAACCGCTAACCTTTCTCATGAAGCAAATTTTTAGAGGCCAGATTCCAGGTAGGCTGCGGCTGTGGATGGTCAACAAGTGCTCTAAGTGACCTGAAGAAAAATGACGGCCCTGCCGCTACTGCGTATGTTTCCTTCAAACAAACACCACCACACAAAAGTACATCACTCCTGGCCCTTGTGAATTGCCCTCAAGGCATGTTCTAAAATCAGTGTCGAAGATTCCCAAAAAAAGGTCACTGTTGTTCTACTCCTTTTAGTTCTTATTGGTTTTGTGGGGGCTTGGCCATGTGCAAAATGTGCAACATCTCGTTTCGTTTTGCAGGCTTTAACAATACGCGGCATCTCCCAACTCATCCCACACTCCCAGCGTCAGGAAACTCAAAGGACAACTTTTCAGCAACTCTCACGACAAAAATGTAATCATGCTGACTTCAAAGTGGACAGGTGCTCACAAGTGAGGTTGTGTTCTTCAGACGATCGAGTTCGTTATCCTCGTGTTGCCGTTCTGACAAGTTGCATGCGCACGGAGTAAACAAACAGGCCAATTGATATCGTCATCATCCTTTCTTGCGTTTATGTTTATCCAATTTCAAAATTTATGGAAGCTAGGAAGTTTGTGGGGTTCCTAGGTTTTCTGTACCATCTCGTGTTTCAAGAGTGTGGGGGTAGTGCGACAATAAGGGGCAACCACCTGCAGTGACCTCAGTGTTGGCGGTCAAAAAGGCCAAACTCAGGGCCGGCCACCTGACAGAGGTGGCCCAGCTTGAAAGACTCATGTCCAGCTTTCAAGCTGAGCCTTTTTAGGTGCCAGAAAAACTAAGTGCCAGTTGTATCATGTTGTATCGACGTCCTTCTCCTCCGAGCCCAGCCGGGCCTCGCGGCGGCGACCTTGAGCCGCGCGAAGGCGGCCTTCAGGGCCTCTCGCAGGTCCTCGGCAGGGTCGGACGGAAGGGGCGCGGCCGCCGCACGTGTCGAGGGCCCTTGGGGTGTGTAGCTCGCTTGGGAGACCCACCCACACACCCTGAATTGGGTTCGGTTCGGGACCCGGGCCACACCGAGAGGCTCTCCGATCCGTCTCGGGGGCACAAGTCACTTTGCTGCTCACTTCTGTGAGCACAGATGAATGTGAGAGACGAAGCACTGCAGATCCACTGGTACTCTATGAAACCCAGAAAGTACAGACATGGATACCAGACATGTTGCACACTGGACGTTCAAGACTCTTTCATTGCGGATATGATCAGAGAGAACCCTCTTGGAACATGCTGTTGGGTCATTCATCCAGATCGCTTCGGGGGGCAACGGCCCCTTGTGTCTTCCTCCGCTGCCACGTCTGTTGTGTGCATTGGTTTGCGAATCAACTCAGTTCCTTTTTCAAGGCTTGCTCCTGAAAACGAAAACGTCAACGAATCCATCAGGGAAAACAAACACCCTCATGAATCCTCCAGAGTTCAGACTCCGATGGTCTGCGACTTGGGAGATATTGAGACACCCATCAACCTCCACTGGTCTCCCATCGATCCAAACGACACGACCGGAACCCCACCTGTTCCTCTGCGCTCATGACCTACACGTGTCCGGCACAGCGGAGCGTCGTTTCAGTCGTTTTCAACGGGGGCGTCTGATCATGCTATTCATCTATGGCCTCACAGCCTCCTGGCAGGACTTCGCAAGTGGATATGTCCTTCCTATTGGTCCACCGCTAGGATGTTGATACATTGTCAAAGGAAACAGAGCTGGAAAAGGTTCCCAGGCTTTGGGCGGAAGAAAAGCAATCCTGAGGGTCGCGAGTGTTTCGCAAGAACAGCAAGAAGACATGCGTCTGCCATGTGTTTAACTGCACCAAACCATCAAAACGTTACCAACCACCAAACTCATCTATATACTGTAGAAATGAGATCCATGTCAACAACCCAAAAATCTGTTCACGTGTCCAGGCAATGCATTTCCAGGAAGCTGTCGGAGGTTCGTATTACAACGTATTGTTCTTAGCCTTTGGCCCAAAGGCCACCTGCTCTTTTCGTGACCGTCCGTGCGCCAGTCCCTGGAGTCCAGACTCGAATCGCGAATCGCTCAGAGCGGACACAGCCAGCCAAAGGGGCCCTATCGATCTATTCCGTCTATATTGCGTCTCTGATCCCTGATTTCAATCCAAACCTAATTTCCTCACAGACATGGATGGTTTGAAAAAGAAACTTCTGCGACAAGGTCCTTCTTCAGCCTTTCCAGCTAAGCCTTTCCGATTTCGGGGGGGTTCACACGAACCCGATCCCCCACATCCCCACGCCACCTCGTGAGGATCCACTTTCACCTTGTGAGGAACGAAACCGGTGCCGGTGGTAAAAGGGGGGGGTTCAGTGGTCTGAAATGATGGCAGCATAGCATTGACCCCAAACAGTGGCCGTAGTGTCGTTTTTCCAAAGAGAACCCCGACAGTAAAACTGTTTGGGGAAACAAAGCTTGTGAGTACCGGATGTCCTGGTTTGATGTTACCAATCGGTTGGTGGTACCGATCCAATCTGTTCCACCCGCCACCGGTGAGTTCCACAATGGAAACATGCCATCGTCCAGAGTGGAAGAGACATGATCATGATAACCAGCCCCAAACTCAGGCGGCCTGTGTTTCTGGGTGTTGGGACTAGCTGCGGTTTCCTCCAACCGTTCTGAGCTGACCTTCTTTCACGGTCCCATCGGTCAACCCAGACCCCGCACGGAAGGTAAAGGTGCCAAGTTGGTCCAAACGACTTCCCAACGGAGAAAGCGCTACTTCACGTCCCAAACGGCGTCGGCTCCCATACCGTATGACGTGGCCAGGTCGGGAGACCTCGCAGTGGGACCCATCACAAAAGGAACCAAAAAATCTAAACAACTTAATACTATATAGATGTCCAAGTCCCCTTTGCCCAGATAATGACCTAACGAAGCATCACTTGCACAGAAGCAGCGAACGTCACGAACCCCACCTCCATTTCCTCCTCCTTCAGGGCGGCCGCCTCCGCGGACATGGTGAAACCGGATGCCCCGAACCATAACCGCCAGCGCTAACAAAAGCCGGGTTGACCTCAGAAACACGTAAAGATTAACAAATATTACACTCCCTGGAATTAACATGGAAGTGGAGAATGGCCCCTTGGAAGACCATGAAATCCACTACAAACAATTGGTGAACTCCACGTAACCATGTTAGTTCCAGGGAGAGTATGTTAGTCAAAATTTCGGTTCCTTCACATGAAACAGATTCTCCTCAGCAGAACGCTCAGTTCCACCTACAGTGTCCAGATCGAGCTCTCTCTCTCTCTCTCTCGATTTCGAACGTGGATTACCCACATCTTGCCGCTGAGTCAGCGACTGGTCAACTGTGGTGAACCCCGCTCTTGAGTCAGTTGATATTGAAAATGGAAGGCTTGTCACGTAATCATGAATATGGGCATTGTCATCAATATAGTTTATATATCTGTACAACCTTGAAGCTGAACAAGCCTGCAACACTCAACCGTCCCCTTCAAATAGCGGGACCTCGCAGGTGGTGGTGGGGTTTATGGTCGAACTCTTCCAACCAAATCTACCAAGGAGAGGCACTTGGTCCACAGGACACGAGTCCAAACGAATAGACTTCCAATCGTCCGCTGCCGCGGGGGTTCTTATCGAGTCACCCACCGCCATTGGCGATGCCATCGATGTTATCGGTATAAATTGCTCAATGGATTTGTTCATCTGAATGCCTTGGACTGTAGAACTGAAATCAACTAGAATCACTGGAGACCATCGCTCTTAGGGTGGAGGCCATCGCTCTTAGGTTTAGAACCACTAGAACTGGAATCAACTACCAGTAGAATCCAAAATTCTCATGAATTCTCTTTGGCAACGGTTTAGAACCACCTGGACCTTCCCAGCCATGCGGCGCTCAACACCAGGTCTCCCAGCAGAACCGCAGCGCACCAAGCCCGGCGTGTCGGAGTCGGGTGGGAAATCGGCTTCCTCTTGGCGTACCTGACCACGTCGCGATGTGCGGAACGCGTCACGGCATCGTTCACATGTGGGAAGCGAAACCGTTCGGGTGTGCCACAAAGACCTTGTTGTGATGATACTGGTTTCAGATCACTAGAGTGGTTTCAGAGTAGATTCCGATGGCACTGGCACCCAAAGATGTCCTTTCTCTGGTCCTTCTAAACCACCAAACTTGGGGTAACTTGTGCCATCTACTGTGAAAGCACTGCAGATGTTAGTCGGTAGAGTCAGATTTACTGGTGTTGTTAAGTCACTCATGTCATGTCCACATAAAGTCATTCATGTCCACGAGGAGTCACTGAAATTTGGCAAAAGCCGCTGGAGACACCATTCGCTGGATAGTCATGAGAAGTGATTGAACTCCAAGAAAACTTTGTGGACACCAGACAACAAATTATGTTTGTCTTATCATCGTTTCAAATCGCCATCACCAAGGGACAGCGCTTACCAAGATATCATTTGAAGAAAATGTAAAACACCATGAGGCACTTGTCTGACATGCGTCATTTGCTATTTGCATTGGATAGGAGTGCTGTGAAGCACCCCTTTGGAAGACATGTCCAAGACCAACAGATTTGCCACGTATATAACGCATGTTCACTGTTCTTACAGGGTGCTAAGCACGGTGTTCTGCGCAAGGCCTGCGCCAGTCTGCGCGAGTCAGCGAGCTAGTCACATGAGTCCATGATGCTCTCATACTCAAACATGTCCAATGTTATATGTCAAGCAGTTGATGCCCCAATGTAGCTGGACTGCACCTAGACACCATAAAAACGCACGACTGCATGTGTAGGACGAAGGACTGAACCATTTTGTCCTCCATTTCATATATGACATGTGACATCATGTGACTGTGACTCCAAATCCACTCCGTTCGCCACCTCCTTCCCTTCACCGCCACGGAGCGGCTTTGACGCCCAGCGCCGGAGCCGGAGCGGTCGCCCGCTCCGGCTCCGCGGCGGGAGCCGGGTCCGGCTCTGCCTGCGACCGATCAGGGTGAGGGGAAGGTGTTTTTGAGTGGAAAAGCAGAAATTGGGCCAAAACGGGCACAGGATGCCCTGACCAAGTGGGGGACCACTGACCACTGAGTCAGTGGATGAATGTCGGCCAAACGATGGTCAACCCTTGGTTCTGACAAGTGGACTCCTCTGCAGGAGTACACTGCCGGTCCTGGTGGTCAACCCATTGGTGACTCGCCGGTGGGGGAAATTATATATATATATATATAGTAGGATTTTATCTAGCTGGAGTCTCAAAGTACCTTGGAAAATGGCTACAACCATGTTTTTCTATGGTCATGTCCCGTTTGGAGGGTCCAGGTAGAGGCAAGACCCTCCAAGATCAGCTGTTTTGATCCCCCGGTGTTTCTTACTTTTTCCTGGATGCCTTTTGTTATCAGAAAACCCTGATTGAGCAACAGATGCCACCAAGCGCTTTTGGGAGTTGAAGCAACGTTCCTTCCTCCGATTTCAACATGAATGCTGATCGAAAGCTGCAGATCCGGCCATGTGATCCTCATGTTGGCTCTTCCAGCCAACAAGCGACTATTCTATCACAGAGTCGCCAAGTCCACGTGGCACGGAGCACGGATGCAGACGTCGCCTCTTTCGCCCCCGACCGATCACGCGATGCGCCGCTCACGGAACGACACGTCGCCGGCGGAACGGCGCGAGCCCGCACCTTCAGGGCGACGTACTTGGTCTCGTGTTCCTGGGGGACACGGAGGACACGGACGTCGGGTACGGTGTTCATCCGAATCAAAGGACCGGCGGAAACGACGACAAAGGCGGCTCCCATCCGTTTGGGGTCACCAGAGACCCATGCGAGGAACGTATGGAGTGTGAGGTAGTGCACTGGTGACCCCGAACGGAGGATTCTAGTATGCTGTTTCTGTCTAAAGCTGTAGAGACGTGGCTACCTTGATTGGTAGACTTCGTGACCGTCCTGAAAGCGAAGTTGGTCCTGGTGTCTTCATCTGGATGAGTTGGTGGAACGCTTTGGGCTATCCCCGCTCTCTGTGCTCACTCATCATGCACTCCGATACAACAGCTAAAGATGGCAAGGCTTTGCAGCGGAAAGAGAGGGATTAGACTAAAAAGTTGAAGACTACATACCGCACAGACCACCTGCCCTGTTTGATGCAAGAATTGCTTGCATGATCTTATATATCTTAGTTCCTTTGCTATCTGAGACGTTCTGAGAGCGTGATCCTCAAATGATAGCCATGAATGGCGGGCCGTTCCTTGCTACGTGACATTTGGAGACCTTTCTCTGGCGGACACCTTTCTCTTCGACAGCACTAGGAACGGCCAACCTCAGGAGCCAAGCGCAGTCTTCAAAGCAGCATTTGTTTTGAACCAACAACCCGCCCAAGTCGCCAGATGTAGAAGGACATGTAGATGGAAAATGAAACAAAGTCAACCAGACTTTAGACCCTTGCTGGGGACATCTACTAACTTTGACCTCTGGCTGTAGCACACAGTGAGTCATATATTTCATAGTATCGACCTTATCGACCCAAATCGGCACCAAGTTTCTCCAGCTTTCCATCCCACCCCACCCGTCACTCAGAACCTCCAAGATGTTCCAAGAATTGCTGAGTCGATTGTAAATCAACCCACGGCAGAAACATGCTGGTCGTAGTTGTTCGCTCCTGTCATAGCTCAGAAGCTGCCCATGCCGTGTGTTTTCTGGGAGCTTCGGCTGCGCTTGGGGACGCTTTGCTTCTCCAGAGGTACAGTACCAGACGGAAGCAAAGCGGAGAATGAGCTGCGAAGGGTACCCGGCGAACATAACACGGATACAAAGACTGCACAAAGGCCCTTTTAGGGATAATATTTTATGGTAACAATGAGATCACAGAATAAAGACATACTAGATTATAAATACAGCTGGTACTTTTTTTTCAGTCTTGCTCCACAGTCAATTCCTGGCCTCACTTCGGTTTCCGAGGTCTGAGGTCTGATCACAGGGACCCTGACATCGGAACGTGGACGGGGGGGTGCTTTACCCGGCCGTGAAACCAAAAACCCACCGGGCGAATCGCACTTTTATAGATGCAAAGTGACGCCGCCCATTCTCATGGGCGGTCCATCCGATTCTTTTGAAACGACTTAAGTGGCAAACGACTTGTCCATCTGACTGTCTGAGTCGTTTGTCTCTGACTTTACCTCTGAAAAGATTTTGCAAAAAAGAACTTGGCAAGGTCGACCAGTACAGAAACCACGCACAGCGCCCACGAGAGAGAAGGAGTTGATTGATTTGGTGATACGATGTTGACTGGTCAGTTTTGTCACTTAGCTTAGAAGAGAGGATCCAACCAGTATTTTGCAAATGACAAAGGAACAAAACAACTGGTGGAAGAAACTCAGAGAACATGGAAAAATGAACTGCGACACCAGTGAAGCACTTGGGGGCCAAACTCTTGGGACAGCTGCGTTCCTCGCCGCAAGAAGGGCATGGAGAAGAGCAAGTCGTTGAAACCGCCACAACATCCCGACGTGCTGACGGGACCTGACGACATCGACCAGCACCAGGCGGACACTTCACGACTAGCGATATCATGTAGAGATATGTAGAGTAAGCTGGGCTAGGAACTATGGCCATTCTTCAAGTCGAAGTTTTGGCGCAAAGACTGAAGGTTGAAGTATTCCGAGAGAGAGCCAATACACTTTGACTTCAGGATTTATATAAATATGATGATCTGCGAATTTACTAGCTTGGATTCCGGGACTCCGGCCACAGGTGCTATTCAGCAGTTGATCCGTTGGATAGCGCACAAGGAAGACAGTGGATCCTGGGTGGCACGCACTGCTCTGCAATTTGACCAACCTAGCTGAGCCCCAAGCGCCTTTGCGAGGTCCGTTTAGAGCGCAGGGAGGACCCAAAACGCACAAGGGGAGGCTGCGCAAGGGGCAGGCCCCTGCTGGCAGCCAGGCTGCGCAAGGAGCGTTTGCAGTATGTTTGGTGGGATCAAAGTAGTCTTTTTGGTTTGTTTGCTAGGAGATCCATGAGTCTTTCCAAAAGCAATGCATGATCCATCCCGCTTCCTCATTTGCATGTAAAATAAAGGGCATTTAGGGCCTTCACTGGACACTTGCTGCCGTTCTTCACCCGCGTGGCGTGTCCTGGTCCATCACTCAGGGGTGACCAGATACGCTCCGCGCGGCGTGGGCTGGGCTCTGGACACACAGAGGTGAACGATGGCTCGCTGGACACCAAACAACGGCGCCCCAGATAGAACTGAACATCTCGTATCCCTCGTGGTGGAGTAGTTCACGGTTCACAACCACCTAGGGTATAGTACCTATCCATGATTTGCCCCACACAAAGAAAGAAAAAAAAAGGACTCACCTCCGCGTGAAAACGGCATTTCACCATGTGGTTTTTCAGGCTAGCTTACATGTGCGAAAGCAAGCAGCTTGGCGCTTGCACCCATCAGCTCCGGCCCAAACCCATCAGATCCGCCACCGGTTCGGCCTCTGGTTCCACCGGGGGTTCCACCGGCGGTGCGAGCTGCTCGGCCTCGCACCACGCGACGGTTTGGGACACCAGAAAGCACCAGGGAACGAGACCCGTTTTTTCATCTCAGATATCCAATGAGAGAGAGAGAGAGTGAGTGAGAGAGAGTGAGAGAGAGAGAGTGTGAGAGAGAGTGAGATCCCCCCAAAAAGAGAGTCCATTCTTGCTTGAAAGATGCCTTTCGCACCACCGGGGTCTAGGCTGAAGCAAGTCACACCCCTCCACTTCGAGTCGACCGGTGCTTTTCGAGTCGACGCGGACCGATCGGACGGATCGGATGGACACACTCCACAGTGTCACCGCCAAACACTTCGGGGGGCTTGGTTTGAATGATGAAGAAAAGAACATGCCCTAACCGGATCCCTTCGGGATTGCTGGTACGGGGAGGTTGGTATAAATATGAAGAAAGTGAGGCCAAATGTGAGACGAGAATAGCCACAGAAATCACCAAATGATCCGAAATGAACCAAATCGACAACCAAAAAAGGTCGACCTATCCTATATATATCATCATGTTTTGGCCTGAACCCAAACACCTGCCTCTGGTGCTCCTGCCGATTTGATCACTTTAAGCAATCCGCCCGTCTCCTCCTGTTGCCTGCTGTACCAAGTCCCCGAGTTGCTTCACCACCGATTTGCTTCACCGCATCGCTTGCTGCCGGCCTCCCCACCTTCCGCACACACCCCCCCCGTTCGGCACACTGTGCCGAGAGACTCCCTGATCCATCGCTGTGGCCATGGTGGGCTCCTCCCGAACCTCAGCCTCGTGGCGGGGGGGGGTAGGTGAAGTGTTGGGCGCCAAAGCCAGCGAGCCAGACGTTTAGAGTCCTCATTGACCGAACCAACCAGGGAACATCAAGTGACCGCAAACCAGGTCGGCCACACAGAACATTCTGACACCTGCCTCCAAGATCGGTTTTCCGGGTCTGTGAAAGCCCCATAGTCCAGGTGGTGGGAGCCTCCGAATTTTTGGATTTACATAGATCGCGGGGGTGGAGCGGGTGGGCGTAGAAGTAGATTGGAAGGCTTGATAAAGGTCGTCCAGTCCAAGTTGCCTCCAGCCACAGTTCAGGATTCCCTGCGTTCCAAACCTCTTGATGTCCAGTTCCCTCACCTTGTTTGGTGGAAACCTGGCGAGGATCTGTTGGGGCAAAACTCTCTTGTTCGTCTACGATCATGGGGACGATTCTCAGGGATGATGCCTGGAACCACGACCGAAACTTTAGGGCCACATCAAGGCTTCTGGGAACACAAAGATGCAGGGCAAGGTGTTGAACATGAGGCATCATGTGCCGCTCAGAAAAAAGGATGCCACCAGGCTGAACTCCCTGGTAAATGGAGAAAACGTATATGTAGTGGCTCTGGCTTCTTGAACCACTCGGGGGGTCACGTGTTCTCGCCGATGGAGCCCAACAAACAACATAGACAGCCTCCCATCGGGTCCAGGTTCCTCCGTACGTCCTTTTAGGCCGACCAGAGGTGATGGCCGACACTTCCTGGTCGAAGGGTCGAACTGCCGGGGGCCGATGGTCCTGGACATCCGTTGCTCGCTCGGATGGACCCTGGACTCTTTTGGGTGCCATGTTCTCGTTGATCGTCACCGAAGCTCGACTTGAGCGGGATCTCACTCGTGCCTTCATCAGCGTCTCTTCAGCTTCCTCGGTCGATAGGGAGACCCCGTGATCCAATGGGTAAAGCTGGTCTATGTTCCTTCTTCCAGGAGGTCATTGCCTGGGAGGTCTTCCTATTTTAAGAAACGCCAAACTCAATCCAAGAGCGGTCCAAGCGCAGCCTCATTGGCCCCTCATTGGCCCCTCATGGTCGGCCCACATGGATTTGGGGTGTCCTTCACCATGTTTTTCAAAAATAAGCTATATACCGTTCGAGGTTACAAACATCATATCATAGGAACTCCAATAGCCTTGAACTTAAGATATTCTCTTCCCCCCCCATGTTATCACATTTCGCAACGGAGAAACACACAGCAGACCCCACCAACAACCACAAATCCCAACCCCAAATAACATCTAACCCACCAAGCTGTGAATGAGAAACCTGCCCGTAGTAAACCAATCTACATACCAACCCCAACTCACATTGGTAGCCAAGGAGCTCGGGGTAGCCAATCACCTACCTAGTAATCAATTAAACAAGTCTACATGTATAGCCAAGTATTAGGAAGCAGTCAATTCTTCGGATGTGGCCAAATGCTTTCTTTATCCATCCACGGGGCGCCGGAACCCGCAACGAAGACCGGTCTCCGCCGCGCGACGAAGACCGGCTCCACGGGCAAAGCCGTCTGGATCTGCTCCACCTGCAGTCGTTCAGGTCCACCGGCGCTTCGGGGTCGACCGGCACCGGTGTTCTAAGAGAGAGAGAGAGAGAGAAAGAAAAAAGGAACGAAAGGAAAGAACTCCAGTCGATTCTTTTCGGGGACTTTCGACTTTCGACTCATCATGAAGGATTTTCATGGCTCAAGGGTTCAACAACTAGTTGAGTAGGCTATGGGAGCCGTTTCTGACGGTGAGTCCCTCAGAATTGGTACAGATCTTCTGCAGTCCCCATCGGTGCAGCTCGTGGCCGACAGTGTCGTGGCACTCAGGTCGTTTGGCCTTCGCAGTGGTCATCTCCTCGCAGTTGGCGCCGCTCGGACCGACTTTGGTGTGTTTGGGTTGCGCAGTTTTTGGTTGGAATTCCGGAGACACCCTGGCGGGTGTTTTTCTGGGTGCTGGAGAAAAGAATAACTGATGTTGTGGTGGTTTGGAAGGTGAAGTGTTCGTTGCGAACAAGTTCTTGTACTTCTTTCTTTCAAAGAGCGACGGCATGCAAGACATGGTGGGATGCCAGCCACAAGTCTGACATACCAGGGATGCTATCCCTCCACTGGGTAAAATGTGCAAACCTTTGTACATGCCAGGATATGACAAATGTGTGTTGAATTTCCTCTTGCATATGCTTGGACTGATCACTGCCATGAGGGTAAGATAAACCTCACTGCCATGATCCGGTGGTTTCTGGGTGGATAGGAGGATTTTCATCACCTGAAGGGTAACCCGAAGAGATCCAGAAGAGTTGTGAAGATCCAGAAGAGTTGTGAAAGAGATGCACGATCGCCCGGTACGAACCTGCTGCGAGGGAGGGCTCACTTTTCTTTCTCTCTCTCTCTCTCTCTCTCTCTTTTTCTTTCTATAATATATATATATATATACTGTATATTACTGTATCCTTATTGGGGGGGTTGCCTTAAGTAAGTAAAGCACGAGTCAGTTTTCCCAACTTTTCCTCTCAATGGATTCACGTCCGACTACGAGAAGTTGTTGCTCGACTGTGCGTAGGGACAAACCATCCGACGTGGGAACCCTCTTGCGGTGTCTGCTTGGAAAAGGGGTAACATGTCCTCCAATGGTAGGGACCCGAGTAGGGACATTTCGACCAAACGTTGATCGAAATCCAACCTTACATCCAAGCTCCTTCGTGTGCCAAAAGGATCTTGGTGTAGAAAATGGAGACACAAAAATCAATGATCGATAAGAACATGAGTCTCTTCAACGAACATGCACAGGTGAAGAACCAAAACTCCAACAACGATCAAAGGTAAGCAGCGGGTCTCAAAATGTGGGATACTTGCTTAATCACCATGTCAGCATGTATACCAACTGGATTTAAGGGCCCCAACCTTTTTGTGCCATATTTTTACATTTGAAGGATCAAAGGTTATGTGGTTAACTCAAGGTCTGACCAGCGCTTTTCCTTTGCATTAGGCCCTCCGTGGTTTCAACCGCAGGCCTGACCACTGACCACCCCAAAAAAGGAAACGATCTTCTTCCGCGCTGTGGCTGCAGTAGCAGCTGGGCTCCTCCATGGAACCAGCTTCCAGCTTCGAAAGCCCGTGCTCTTCCGCCTCTTCTGCCCAACCACGACGTCGCAATCGCTCCGGAGCATGTCTTCGTTCGCTCGGCGGTGTATTCTTCCCACGTTTGGGTACCACCGTGCCACGTTGATGTCATCAATCTGTGAACTTTTTTGGAACAAAAACATGGTTGAGATGGCAACGATCCACGCAGGACAACGATCTATTCATCCATGAGATTTGAATCCATCCCTATGAAAGTCATGGTGCATCCCGGCGTACGTCATGTTGTACGCTTTCCCACACAAAAGGACCCGCCTTCACCGACTCCTCTAAGAGCTTCTCCTACCACGGTGGAAAAGGGCTTTAGACTAAGAAGTTCTACACGTCAGCATAATATATAGAAATACAATGAACTCCCAAATCGATCGATAGGCAAGTAACTTATCTAACAACCCAACCTAAGCTTAAGACGATCGTTCAATTGGCCTTTGAGACAACTTAAAGACCCTTTAACTGACTCCCTTCGGGACCTTTTAAAGTTGCTTCAGGAGCGTCTAACTACACCCCAAGACCCTTAAGAGAGACTCGACCTGTGATTGATAATGTTTTTCCTTTTCGTGCGAGTGGTCCAATGGATAGAGTCCGTTCTCCAGGTCCAGTGGGCCAACTCCGCCCAAGGCTTGACAGCTGCGAATCAACACTTAAAACTCGGCACAATCGGCCAACTTCAGCAAAAACACAGAGACTCGAAACAGGTAGCGATAGATGTGATGAAAAATCACTGGCTGGTTGGAGACTCCAGTTCACTTCATATCACGTGTCAATACATGACTTGAAGTGCTCGGTTCATCTTCTCCACCTCTTGAAGTGCCGCTCTGTCCAGGTCACCCATGGTGATACCTTCAAAGGAGCACCACTCTAGCACGGTGGTGTTCTTGAGAACCTCAGCGAGCTGCAAGATGCCTCCATCTGCAATGGAAACGTACTCGAGGCTGACCCTCCTCAGCTCTTTGCATTACCTTTTGATGAGGGTGTGATACTTGCCCGATTTGACTTACCTTTTCAAGAGGATTGTGGAACTTGGGTTGTCTGTTTATCTGGGGTGGTTTCAGGAGCAGATGTGGTTTCAAATCACACATTATCCCGCCAACCCAGACAAATCCAAAGATCTCAAGGTGTCTACTGGGGCCTCATTGTTTGTCAACAGCCTTTCGCCAAGTCTCTTCAGCACCAGGTTGGTCTGTACAGCCTGCGCAAAGGCCTTTGCGCCATCGAGCCCCATCTTACTGTCCTTGATTACTAGGTGATCCAGCCGAGTATAGTAAGGAAGGGCATCCGCAAGCACGGAGAATTCACTTTCAGGAAGCTTCGTCAGCACCAATTCCAAGACCTTCGCTGCCTTTTCCAAAAACACTTCTTTCTGCAGCCGCACCACATCCTCAAGATCACTGCGGTGAGTAAAGCGAAACTCCTTCACATCCACTCGTTGTTTGAAGGTCTCGGGTGCCATGGGTGCCCGGCCAATATACGCAAGCCCACGTGGATGCGGGAGGAGCCAACAGGCCGGAAGGCTTCGTGTCAGAGACCACTGAACCTCCGCCTGACACCATCCCCGTTGGGTGTACAACACCAAGCAGGCTTGGAGCTCCGTCACGGGCACTTGCTCCACCAAGCGAGTCCTTTCGTGGTAGATGGTCACTTTCCTAGACCTCTTCCGTTCTTTGATCTCAGGTGGAGTGAGCTCTTCAATTCGGAAGGTGGCCGTGAAGTCGTGAGCATAGAGCACATGCATGTTCTTCATGGCAAGTTGAAAGCATTGCTCTTGCTTGGCATTGCGCTCATACTGGTAGATAGACATATAATCAATGAAGTACCAATCACTCGCGCAAATGTCTGACGCTAAAATGCTCAGCTGATGCCCATATGGATCCTTATGTCTCACGCGGTTTTTTGCGCTGTCTGGTCTGGGTACCCTTTGGTCTACCCGGATCGTGACTCTCAGCGACCGAAAGCTCCAAATAGACCCAAGTAGCAACCTGTTTGGTTCGCTAGGTACGGCCAACTTTACACGAGTTACGGTCCAATTTTATGATGTCTGTGCGGCTATTGAATCGTCATAATGAAATCAGATTGTGAATCCCCAATCGTTTGCCAGGGTTTGGAGCATGCCATAGGAATGCACCGCTCTTATGCAACCATAATCATCGCAAACGTTGAAGGCACTTCCCACAAAAACTCAGATTTGGATAGATTTGAGGGAACCTACCATTATGAATCAAGGGTTCAAGGAATACTGTCAAAAAGTCAAAGCATACTGGCAGTGTGTTGGGATCGGGGTGTTCCATGGATTCCCAGCAATGTGAAACGCTGACAATGCGAGATCTTTGATGTTTGCGGTTGTCTGCATAGCCACCTGGCAATGTGTATGGCACCGCATCTGGCGATATATTTGGCGACGCAGCTGGCGATAAATTTGGCGACGCGTCTGCCGATACATTTGGCGATGCATCTGGCGATGCATCTTCATGCCAAAAAACTTCCCGACCCACGCTCCAGTCATGTACTTCCTCGTGGGTAACCAGTGCGCTGTGGCCAGAGGCTGTCTTCATTTCCTCCGCTTCTTGGCCTCGGTCGACTCCGTGATGTACAGATGTGGGTCATGCACGCTAGATCAATGAGCCATAGTGTGCATGACCTTTTTGTAACTGCGTATTGTCTATCGGCTATCGTTTTCCCGTGTAGTCTGTTGATTCTGTGATTGGCTCACCAAGCACTAGGAAATTTTCCAAGACGGTTCTCAAGCTGTTCAGTAAGCGGTATCACCTATCACCTACCATGTTGCAAGATCATGCGCAATCATTTGCAAGACCACTTTCTTCGAAGCCTTCTGTAAGGTTTTGTATATTTGTTCCCCGTGAATCTGTAGAAAGAGGACGCGCTTGGCACTGCTGAGACATGATTCTGAGGTGCTGGCGACGGACGAAGTTTTGGTCAGCTGCATGCAGCTCCAGCAGAAACTCCCCTCGCACCAGCCGAATGTCCGCACACTTCAACCTGAGGTTCGAACACTTTTGAAACCTCAACAATACTGTTCTGCTGTAATGATCTGCCGCCACCTCTGCTTAATTTCCGAAGAAAACCTATGAGTCCAAGGTGTGCACACACTTGAGATATTGTGTACTGAATCGGATGCCCCATGACACACGGCAACCTAGGTGAAAAGGGGCCTGTGTAATGTTAGAGGTCATGGCTCTTAGGTTGGAGGCCATCGCAAACAGGTTGGGTGGCCATCACTAGTAGGTTGGTGAGATGCAACTGCAAGACATTCACAAGCAACTGCAAAGACATGTAACTGCAAGACAAGTGAACCGCCGTTACAATTAGATTACAATTAAGTTTAGAAAAGACATTTAACATTGCAAATACGTTTACAGCTCTCACCATTGGCCTCTTCATTGGCCATCCACCAACGGTGAGAGGGATGGCCCCTGCTTATAAGAATCAACGGGGTTTCCAAACACACACATACACACACCAAGCGGGGGGGCACTAGCTCTAAGGCTCTTGACGACTTTAAAATATTTTGAATAGAGCCGAGAAAGGGAAGAAAGAAAACAATATACAGTAATGAAAACGATAAAATCCGGACAAGGAAAAGGGGAGAAGTGAGAGGAGGCCGAAGACAAAAAGGGGATGAGGGAACGTGTGGCCACCCGCGTGAGCAGAAAGACCCCAAGAGACCCAAAGACAGAGAAAGGACAATACCTTTAAAGACCGAAAACCTGGCCAACCGACCTGGCGGGCCCGGAAGTGGACCCGGACCCACGCAGCACCTGCGGCGACGAATTTGAAACACCCGGACAAGGAAAAGCGGAGAAGAGAGGCAGGCACTATATTTATAGAATCCTCTACTCGAAAAACTTGCTGGTCTGCTATCTCCTGATCCGCGCAATAGAGAGAGAGAGAGAGCCTGCTTAGTGTAAAAGGCGTTGGTTGGGCTATATGTGACCATACGTCTGAAGCCATCTAAAACTAAAACCTATTGCTGTGACACGTGACATGCTTTTTGAATTGCATTTCACATTGTTGGGCCCAACTATGCGCTCACTGCGCCAAGCAAGGCTCAGCGTGAGTGCGGGTTCTTCTGAGTGACCTCGGCGCTCCAACAGTTCAGCAAGGTGAGGGAAGTTGGATGGGATTCCTACACCTGAACCACATACACTGCTGTGGCCGCTGTCCGAGCTCAAGGTTCGCGATGTTGCCGGCATCTACATTCATGCATCTTGGTCGAGCCCTCGTGAGCCCCAAAAGAGGGAAGCATTGGCTTCAGCAGCTGCTCAGAACCACTGAGCTGCTCTCAGCTTTCATGAATATACTGCAAACCGCTACGGGTCACAAGTTCAAACACTGAGCAGCAATGGGCTTTAATTCGGGCATCTTGTTCTCTCTCTCTCTCTCTCTGCTAAGCTTTCCCAGCTCCGCTGTCAAACCAGGCAGAGGAAGCATCACTCAAGGAGGAATGTGTCTTTCGCCTCTGCATCAACACTGTCAGCGGCATTGGCTTGACAATGTCCTTTCTCGACAGCAGGTAACAAAGCTGGCGGAAGCTCGCGGGGCAACGGGTGAAGTCGAGATGGGCTGCATCGCTTCGCAATTCGCCCAGCCGCTCCCGGAACAAAGCCCGAACCGACAAGTTCTTCAGTCCCAAACCCTGCTCTTCGCCCTGATCGCTCCCCTCCACCACTGATGCGCTGCCTGCCTGATTTTGGCCGCATGGCCTTTGGGATTGATCCACAAACCCTCAAAGGAATAGGAAGGGGCCATTATCTAGCCAGGCAGCACGAGTCGCCACTTTGATTTGTTGCTGTGCTAACCATCAACAATCTCGGCTTGTGAAGGAGAGAGAACATGTAGACATCCGGCTTTCCTCTTTAATCCAAGGATCTCCTCCATGTCAAGCTTAACGAGCTGCCCTCCAGCGACTTCCCACAGCGAACGCAAAAGTTGGAATTTGGCATGGCTGCCGCTAAAGCTCCAAGTAAAAGTAGTGGAATTTGAGAGCTGCCATCATCGAAGCGGAAGCAGCTGCATGGACTTTTATGAGTCTATATTGATGAGTATTTGGTTGCCCTGATAGCACGCATCTGTCCGCCAGCGGCATATTGCTAGTGGCAGCCCTCGTCTGGATTGCGATCTCGGGCGGCCATCTTTGGTGAACTGCACGGCTGTTGGCAGAACGGACCTGGCTTGCCACAAGCTGGTCCGCTTCTGTGGTATTGTTTGACCTGATGACTCTACCTCTTCTAGGGAGCTTGCCTGAAGCTGATGTGGCTGTGCTAGAAGGATTGGCGCGCCTGAATGTCACCCTCGTGTCACGTGACCAAAGTCCCAAAGCTTCAGGCTGGAGTATCTGTAGGATCACCTGTCTATACAACACCAGGACCTAAGCGCTGCTGCAATTGAAGACATGCATGTCCCATAAGCGAAAGACAGTAAAAACATGTTGCTGGACTGGACCGTTCTGCCTAACAGTCAGCAGAGCCCCGGGAGAAAAGGGTGGGTTGATGTGTTTCTGGAGAGGCAGGAGTTCCTAAGGCTGGACTCGGAGCGCTGTCCAGGTAAACGCAGCGGTGTCCAAACGTGCAGAACGGTGCGTGACTGCAGACCTACCTTGTCTGAAACTGCCTGAGCAGAACCGGAGCCTGTTGAACACCATCGCCATGAGCATGTTGTGGCAGGTATGTCAGAGTGGCCAACTCTGATATCATCCGATCAAATGCGTGTCTTCGTTGGTAGCGGTCCCAAATGATCTGCCGCTACCCCTGCTCAACTTCGTAGAAAAATGATTTGAGTCCAAGGTGTGTGCGTGCGCGCGCACGCACAGATGTATCCGATTCCTGTTCATATATTTCGGGGTGTGTGGGTCGAAACCTCTGCATCCTAGTCAGTAGACCTACATCTGGGTGGTGAAATGATGCTCCACCTCAATTTGTCGCAAGAATAAAAAACATATCTTCACATATTGTCACGTATCTCAGCAGCAAGGAGGCCAAAGCTGTGGGATTCTGCAAGTCATAATGCTCCCTTGCGCCAATCGGAGGGTTCTCGGGTGCACTTGTGGCCTGCAAGTTGAGTGCCAGCCGGCCAGAGTGTGGATTCTCGACCACCACCTGCTGCAGTTCTTGTATGGCAGGCTCGGTGAGCCTCGGGCAGAGCATCACTGTAAGATCCAAATCGCTGAGGCGAAGAGATGGCAAAGCAACAGTCAGAGGTCGGATGTTGTCAAGGAAGCTGAGCTTCGAGAAACAGAGGTGCAGCTCTTGCAACTGCTCAAGCTTCGGCAAAACTTGGCCCAATCCTTTTAGGCAGTGGAGAGATGAACCTGTGAAGGAGAGCGAAAGGCTTGAGATGGGTCGGTGACCAAGTTCCTCAAAGCATTCCAAGGTGTGAACACCGGTGAAAGCCAGGTCCAAGCGGAAGATTTGCAAAGCGGAAGGCAATGACGACATCAAAAGCCCTAGTTCTTTGTCACTGAAACGGCGGCAACCGGTGAAGGAGAGTTGCACAATCCTTCGAGTCTCATCCCGATGCAAAATCTCTGACATAAGACGCCGGTTTACATCGCAACCAGTCTGGGAAGAGTTTTTCTCCAATGCGTACCAGCAGGCCAAGGCAAAGTGCGAGCCAATGGCACTGTTGATCCTGTCATAGTTCGGGTGATGATCAGGATATGAGCACTCCAAGCTGATAGTGCTGGCTCGTGGAAATGCTATGGTGTTCAAGACCAGGTTTTCTTCTAACTTTCGGGCAGATGTTGCCTCACCTTGGATGGTTCAAGCTGATTTGCTTGGTTCAAATCATTGCTCCCACTCCGCTGAGGAAAAGAAGTCCTATCCTGTTAAGTCACGGTCCTTTCATTAGACTCAAGGTCTTTGAAAGCTGTCAAGAATCACACTAAAGTACAAAAAGATAACTTGCATGAACGTGCAAACAATGTGTATCTCGGCTACTGAACGAATACAGAGCGATTTTTTCTACCAGAATGTCTAGACATCCAACTGAACTCTACCCCGCAGACTCGATTTCTGATCGAAACTGCGTGATCGAACCTGCTCGTTTCTCAAAACTGCCTGAAACACGACGAGGTGGCGTATGTCTAGCCTCAAGGCATGATGGAGAAGCTCAGCCGGGAAATTCGCTTCACGACAGGCCTTGTGGTGCATGCCCCGCAGTGGCGACATGAGCTGCTCCTCTGCTGTTAGGCCGTCGGTCAAGATGCTGGCGTGGCTGTTCATTGCCTTGGATGATGGAACAGGAAAATAGTAAGGTCGGTAGGTAGGTGTGTTCAGAAATCATACTATATATTACAAGAAATTAGAGTCTGATTCTCGGAGAAAGGCATTTCCTTAGACTCTATTTTGGTAATTAAAAATATGTAAGATTATATAAGATGATATTACATATGCATTGAAGTTAGCATGATTACACTTTGCTGCGCAAAGCTACGAAGTAACAAGCTGAGCTGTACAAATATACATATAATATATATATATATATAGTATGTATGATCCGACTTACTGGAAGCAAGATGCTGTGAATAGAGAATACGTCTTTTGACAACAACGTAAGGATATGTCATGTAATGACCCCTTACCGATCTGAAAGTGTTGTGTTACTTCACAACCTGCGCGCACCGTCCTTACATCTGCGCAGACAGTGAAAAAGGAAAGAAAATAACGAAAGCAAGTACTCCAATGTTACAGGCATATTTTTGCAAAGGAAGGTGGGACTAAGAAAAAACTGTAGACTCGAACCCAAAAAAAACGCATGTCTTATCACACGAATGAGCCGTTTTTGAACGCTCGATTTTTCATTCCCTCAGTTTAGACTCCATCAACTCCTTTCATCACCAGATCCTTTCATACCCCCCTTTCTGACCAACTAGATGAAATATTCTCAAGCAATCCCAAGGGTGCAGTGCCGACATCCAACAGAATGGGATGCTCGGTGTCTCTGCGCTCGACCACCAGTGCAAGCTCAAAGACACACCAAATCCGTTGCGCCGGAGTGAACACGTCGTACAACACCAGCAACATGCCATCACAGTTGCCCAACCCGCGGGCAAAGCTGTTGCGCCGTGGGTTTGCAACTGCAGAATCTGCTTCAGCTAGATCATGTTGGTTGTGTGCGAACCCACCTCCCCAGTAGGCTGTTTGCCGCGAGAATTTCCGAACCCGGGCATGCCTTCGCACGCATTCCACATACCTGCAAATCGAATTGGCCCAAACGAAGCTTGTGTACCATGTGGGCCGTTGCTGCTCTGCATCAACTGCCATTAGCTCCACCACACTGCAGTGAAAAACTTCAGTGGAGGGTTTCAGCACCCATCGCCTGCCATGGTACATGTTGAAGGTCTCGGGATTCAAAGGCACAAAAGTGGGCGATGCTTCTTTCTCCTCAGCTTCTTCCTCACACCACAAGGAGGCCATGTCAGATGTGAAGCCACAAAACACACAGAGCTGCTCCAGGGTAATGCCGCGCTGCGCCGCATCTGGGATGCGACACACCTCGCGTGACTTGGGGCTAGGCCGGTTGGGCTTGGGACTTGGGGCGCAAGCGGTGCCGTCCGAAGGGAAAATGGTGGGATGTCTACAGCCTATAAGCAGCCCACAAGCTAGGCTGTAGAAGGATGGTATGTAGAAGGATGGTATGGCTGGGATGTCATGGTGGAATGTTGGATTTGAAACAAACAGCCTACAAGGTGGAGCTATGGCCTCAAGGCGAGAGGTGTGCAGGATTGGTGATGCCCGGATTGAGGTTCAGTTCAGTACTAGCCCATCTAGAAGATACCAAGAACCACGCAGTCATCTGTATCATTGGGTTCTCATGAGGTGGTTAAGTCTCAGATTCCTGATGATGTTCCACCAAAAGAAGCAAGATTCCTACCCCCCTCCCCCCAGCAGACCCTCTCCACACGATCTGCCTCGCGCGGGCCCAGGCGAGGTCCCAGCTCTGAATAATCAGCCAGGCTCAGCCGTACCTCCTGAGACTTTGCCAGTTCGAAGACCTCCTGATGGAAGCAAGTTCCGATGGGAAAGTTTGAAGTACACGAAAGGTCATCACTAAGGTTTTCAGCACTCTGATTTGTTGGAAGCTGCACAAAAAACAACCAATCACAACCCAAAGCAACACAACCCAAAGACCCAACCAATCACAAAAAGTGTTCGCGCATTTGGTTGATCAAAAGCGCTCAAGGGGCAAAGCAACAAGGGGGAGGCTTGAAGGCTTGCCAAGGATTTGTCGCCGTTGCAAAGCGGCTGTGGACGAGGGGTGAAGGGAAGCCTCACACCAGATGTGGGAATTCAACCAGGAGCCTCAGGGCCAAACTACATCCACTTGCTGGGCTGGTCTTCTTTCTGCAGCCCTTGTGCATATTTGAGCTCCATTCCCCGCGAACTACATGTGAGCCATGGTCACTTCAAATACATGGTCCAGAATCCTATTCTGCCAGACATGGATCCGAATGATCCTGGTCATCACAAACAGCTCCAAAAGACCCTGTTGTTAAAATCGTGTAGTGCAGGGGTGAGCTCCAGAAAGAAACAAAGACGAAAGAAAGAACACGCGCGTCAGGCCCTCCATCTGGATCCGATATTTGCGGCAAAGTCTTATATCAATCAAAAGGGCCAAAGATGATGCCCAAAACGTTAGGCATTTCCTTCACAGGTCTTTTCCTGGTCTGAAAACCTTAGGCATTGGTTCAACCCCAGGCTCCATGGGGTCGGTCTAACCTTTGACTGATAGAGGATGGTCGACGGCCTGAGAGGCAGCTGTATGAGGGCCGTGGGCCATGGCACCATGTACCCCTGATGCCTATAGTACATCCCACTGGAGCTACACGCCGCCACCATGCCCTTCGGTTTGCTGGGTGCAGGTGTGTTATCTTGAAGTGATGACTGCAGGTTGAGCAAAGGTGCAAAAGGACACAAAGAAAGTGCTCAGAATTGGGTCTGGATGGCCATACTTCACTTCCCAAGCAGTTTCTCTATTGTCCACCTGGTGCCTTTTCCGCGCGGCCTCTCCTGCATCGTGTCTCCTTCTCCCAGTTGCCAGGGCCCATAGGACAGCATCCGCACACCCCAGGCATTCTCCGGTCGTGGAAGAAGCGCGAGCAGCTGAGCCATCGTGGTCGTTGCATCCAGCGCAACTTCCAGAGAGACCCTGCTGCTGACCACACGCGTCCGCATGGCGCGCGTGTCAAGGCGATCAGTGCATCATGGGCAAATGTGAAAACTGTCAAACCATGGGCCATGGGAGTAGCACTGCTTGATCTGCTGAGTCTGCTGGCAAATCTCAGAACGACTGTGCTGTTGAGTCTTGATACCACGGTTTAGTATTTAGATGTGCTTATAGATCTTCTTGTGGGCATGATACCCCTAACACCAAACACAAATGTAAGACTTCAACAGCCTTGATCCTCATGAACGGTGGACAGTGGCCGTCTGGTCTGGTCCCAAAAGAGTACCTTGGCAGACTTCCGGAAGCTGTTCCAGCTGATGTATCCGTAAGATGTAGAGGAAAAGGATCCTCCATCTACCGCTATCTACCGCTATCTTCCAGCTGGGGTTCTTCAAATCCTTCTCTGACGGAGGGGTTCGACCCTTTGCAACCTGTATTCTGATCAGAAGCTTCATACTGAGGGTGATCTGAAAAGAACTTTCCACAAACTTCAAAAAAAGAAAACAAAGGGACATTCTCACATCTGAGAAGTCTGCAAAGGGTCTGGGATCTTAGCTTAAGCCATCTTAAGCCGCTTGATCAGCGAAACCAGCATCCATCTACTTGGTGACTCCATTTGGCAATGGATCATCATGACCCCGGGCGGAATGCAACCCCCTGGGAGTATTTGTTTCACTCGGGCTCGGCGAGAGCAGCCAAGGGCCGAGGCAGCCTCTGCTGGAAGCATCTGCTCTTCCTTCGGCGAGAGCAGTTGCTCTGGCTGCTCCTGGACCAAGTGCTTTCACAGTTTGTGTGAATAGCCAGAAGCGGGGTGGAAGGTTGAACACCTCATCTATATGTGTACTGTGTACAGTATATATATATATATAATACATCAATCACCCGCCCTCCAGCCCCTTCATTCAACGAACATGTGCGTGCTTAGGAACCATGGGTTTTTGGACCAGAAGCGTATACCCCGTACCCCGGTACTCTGACGATCGGTACCTGGCGGTTCGGGACGTGATCTGGCGGCTTCAAACCGAGAGATCTACTTGATCTGACGCCCCCTACATTGGCTTCCTGACACTAAGTACGTCACCCCCCCGGCACCAAGCGTAGTTCACTGAAAACCTGATGAACTGCTACCAGTTACACCACACCGACCATGTACATCATGTACCACCCACAAGGACGTCACCATCGGTAAATTTCTATGTCCCCGAAAGCAGGCTGCAAACCCAAAGTGTTGATTATAGTATTACTCGCCAGCTCAAACAGTAGCTATATAACTTAGATACATTTGTACCCACCTAAGTTACCCAGAAGGCGCATGCTTGGAATTGCACCACGACGCATGGTGTTCGATGGGTCAAAGGCTTCGTGCTCATTGAAAGGCACGGAGGGTGCGGCGGCACCCTACCGTACGCGGCGGAGAGTTCCTCGGTGCCATTTGCGCGGTAACCACGCGGGAACCCCGCGTCATTCGGTCAGTTCGGCGTTGTTTTTGGGGAAACAGATGGTGGATCTCTGCGCGATCCAAAGAACCACCCCCAGGAACACCTGGCCGGCCCGTGTGGAGTCCAAGACCGGCGAACTGCGGCTCCTGCTCGGCGGGCTCTGCCTGGCAGTGAGGAGCATCTCCGCAGATGGGCGAGTCGGATTGTACTGACACGCCCCGGAAGGGTCCGATCAAAATGTCTAGAAAATCCCTAGTCGAGAATATCCTCGTGAAGGGTGAAGGGTGAACTGGTTGAACATTGTTCGAAGCCATTTCTTCGACTCCGATGTCGGTGTTTTTAGAGATGATCCATCCATATCCTTCGTTCTTCGTCGCCCTTCGTAGGTTTGCACGTCTCATGGAACCGTAAAGCCCCAACTCTCCAGACGTCGTACTCCTTCCTCGGGCCCGAGAGCAGACATTCGATCGCGGTCCCCGTGGTCGTTCTTTGTGTCATGCCATAACGACCGACTCGGTCACGTCGTGCATCAGAATCCCGACGCGGAAAAAAGATCGACTTCACAGTCCATGTTTGGTGAATCAAATTCAAAGGCCCCATAGTCCGATTGAAGGCCTCACAGTCCGAATCCGACTTCTGGGGCCATGTTTGGTGAAACAGTGACGTGACGGTTTCCGCATGGCTCGGAACGTCTGGTGGGTGTAGACACTCCAGGTGATCCACGTTCTCATGGGAAGAAAAGGAATGCAATCATCATCATCATCATTATCATCATCATCGTCATCTGAGTAGCTTATGCCTGAAACCTACAGTACTTGCCAGTAGCGTTAGCGCTGGTAATCGACTCATTGCAATTTCTGAGCTTTCGTGGGGGCTAATTACAGAAAACAATTTTCTCCCAAACTTTGACTTCCTAACCCAGGTCATGCACCACCTGTGCCACCTACGAATCATGCCTCAGGCGTACCCCACGTTCCGCGCCCGCGTTCCGCGCCCGCTTTCCAACATTTGGGGGACATGTTTGGGCGACTGATTCTTGATAAACCCCTTCTTCCATGTACCCGAAGGCACATCCACTCGAGCTGAGCAAAGGCACCAAAAGGTTGCACCACTCCACAGAGATCGTTCTTGAGATTTGAACCACTCCGCCAATAGATGCCTGTTCCAGGCATCCTGAAAGACATGGCAGGTAGTGAGCCCCCCTCCATGTCCTTCTCAAATTGCACACACATGGCAAGCTACAATGTGCATGTCTTGCTTCAACTGCAACCCTGTTACCTTCAGAACGTCATCGCGGGGTCATGCCGCCCCACTGATTGCACTAACCGAACCGTTTCAGGATGCAGGACGCAGCCTTTTTTCATGCACCAGCCATTCAATCACCCCGTCGTAACACAAATTGACCATCTACAGTAGAGGAGACCGTCTGCAGCCTGCAAAAGCAAGCTCCGCAATCTCCGTCGCTGAGTTGGAGATGGTCACACTCGCCAAAGAGCTGCAGTTTGCAAATGCAAAACAAGCAATCGATCTCACCGAAGGAATGCTCACACTTACCAAAGAGCTGCAGTTCAGAAAGGCACACTTCCCAATGTGGGTCACAGAGTTTGGGATTGCCACCTGTGTCAAAGATCGACACTCTGCAAAAGCATGATCACTAATTCCGGTCACGGAGTTCGGGATGATCACATATGTCAACGAGTTGCACTTTTCGAAGGCACCTATCCCAATGTGCCTCACTGAACTTGGTAGAGTCACACTGGTCAAAGAAGAACAGGCTGCAAAGGCGCTGTCACCAATCTGGATCACTGATGCCGGGATGGTCACGCTTCTCAGAAAGCTGCAGTCTTCAAACGCCCGCCTCCCAATGTAGGTCACTGAATTCGGGATGGTCAGACTTGTCAAAAATGCGCAGGCTGCAAAAGCACGATCACCAATCTGCATCACAAACTCAGGGATGGTCACACGTGTTAAACAGCTGCAATTTTCGAAGGCACTGATGCCAAGGTGAGTCACTGAGTTGGGGATGCTCAAAGTTGTCAAGGAGCGGCAGTTCATGAACGCAAAATCCCCAATCTGGGCCTCTGGATCGGGGATGGTTGCACCCAACTGTGTCACTGAGTCTGAGATTGTCACGCTTGTCAAAGAGCTACAGTTTTCAAAAGCACGCTCGCCGATATGGGTTACTGAGTTGGTTATGGTCACACACATCAAAGATCTGCAGAATGCAAAGGCCTCCACACCAATCAGGGTCACTGAGTCCGGGATGGTTAGTTTGGCTAGCAAGCTGCAGTCTAAAAATGCGTCTGCAACGATTGTGGTTACATCGCCTGGGATTTCAACAGATAGCAGAGACATCATGTCAGCATCACTACCACATGTGTTGAAACTATGCTTGCTGGAACATTTCACTGTATTCTCCTTCAAGACAAATGCCACATCCGACTCCGGAGTGACGCCTGCATCGACCACCTTTTCATCATCATGTAGCAACTTATTGCCATCGACGGCAATCTCCAAACGGGTAGTTCCACGCGTCAGCTGGTCCACCCAAACCTTTTGCTCTTTGATCTGCTCCTTAAGTTGTCGACCAGTCATCTCTGGCGTGACAGGAAGAACAAACACGTCGCCGTTCAACTGCTTGCATGAAATCAAGAATTCCATGCCCATCTGATCGCGGAATCCGATCCTGTGAAACAGGATCTCTTTACTTAGAGCCCACGGCTCAACCCCTCTAACAATCCCACATGGTCTGGTGTTTCAGTCAATTTTATGATTTCACTTGGCATTAACAAGTAACTGCTGCCAAAGTCGCCACCCACTGGATAGACCTGGGTGGCCAAAATAGCCGAAAAAGCTGGCGCAGGGGCTATGATTATTCCTACCAAGTTCTTGAGCCGCCAACGCGAGAAAACCGCTTCGCAAAAGCCGCGCAAAAATAACGCGCCCAAAACCACTCGCGGCGGCAGGAAGCCGTTCGAACGGTGGAATCTGGTGGGATTGGCTTCCCCTTCGAATTTCGGTGCCCTCAAGTTCATAGAGTCCTCAAGTCCTGAATTTTAGAGAGGTTGTTGTGGACTCTTTTTTGCCCAAGTCATTCTAATTATATCACCAGGCGATGCTCCTACGCGACACCCGCTTTGGCGCCCCAAAGGGATGTAACTAACCCATGTCAGTGGTGCCAAGCGCTGCCACTGTAGGATCAATCGTGGCTTTGTTTTGGCCGTACCCAGAGTCATAGTGGATGCAAAACAATTGCACTCTGACTCACTAACATGGAAGTGGATGGCATGGCCCCTTGGAAGACCTTTTCCTGTACAAACAGGGGGGGGCCATCCACGTCCATGTGATGTGTTTCGTCGGAGTGATCCACAACCTCTTCGTCTCATTTGGTTCGTCCAGACACACCGCCTTCACGGCGCGTTGGACACTCCTCTCGAGTTCCTCCTGTTCCACCTGAAGGTGGAGGCGCCGTGGATCTTTCTGAATGACAGAAGTTCGTAGATGTTCACGAAAATGAATCAATTGGAAAGTGTGCCACTGTCATCTATTTGGATACCAAAAAAAGCACGGATGAGATCAATGAAGTGCTTGGATTGGGCTTGTGACTGGTATTCCCCATGATTCCTGA